TACTATTTTCTGGATTTTTTCAATTGATGCAATTGTGATTTAGTCATACATGAAAATTATTATGAACTAAATATTTATTTAACCTTCAGTACATCATCAATAAGTTGATTCGCCTGCCGTAAATATTTACAAACAGTACTTTCGATAGGTACGTCTTAAATTAGCTTTAAAAGATCACTTTCAACAAAACAAATAATAGAATCCAGGAAGTAATAATATAGATTGCATGATGAAAGAATATTCATTTCAAATTATTATAAATCAATTTCCGTATTAATTAGGTATTTTAAAGTAATTGTCAATAAGTTGTATCCGAGCGAATTTATTTATGAAATGGTGAAATTCAGATTCTGTGTTTTAGGTTGAGTAATAGAATATCTTTGCAAAAAATTCAGACTGTAAATGTGGTTCATCATTGAAAATCATTCGAATGTGCAAAATATAGGAAATAGCAATAAAACTTAGTAGAATATCTGTTTTTCTAAGAAAACAATTGATCGAGTTTAAAATTTCACCATCATGTGAACTGTATACTAAGTTTAAATCGTGTTTTTAACGCGTAGGAAACAATAATAAAGATAAGTAACCTATTTCTGAAATTTTCCATTAGGGCTCGTTCACTTATTACGTAACGCAAAAAACGAGTTTTTAGACCCCCCCTCCCCTCCTGTAACAAAGCGTAACAAAATCTTAGACCCCCCCCCCCCCATAACGTAACAATAATTTTTTTCATTTAAATTGTTTATCAAATGTTTATTATACTTCCTTTAAGTATGTAAAAGTAAATAGAAGGAAAGCAATAAAAAAATATATTAATCGTTTACATCCATATTATTAACTAAACGCAAAAAAACTCATAAGTTTTGTAATCATTAGTCGAAATTTAACGTTAAAAAAATTTAAAATTAATATAGAAAAATTATAAAAAAATATAATTTTTGAAAAGTTACGTAACAAAATTTAGACCCCCCCCCCCCTCCCCCTGTAACAAACCGTTACAAAATCTTAGACCCCCCTCCCCCCTAGTGCGTTACGTAATAAGTGAACGAACCCTTATTCCAAGAAAAAATAAAATTTATAAGTAGATAATTGAATAGATTCGATTTGACCAGGATTTTTATTTCAGGACTTTTCAGTAAGTAATTCATTATAGGTATCTACTTCATAATTTTAATTAAAAATCAAGCAACATCACCTGACTTAGTCCCGAAAGTCAAAACATATTCAAGATCAACAGCACAATTGACCAAAAAAAGGCATGTTCGAGAATCTACAAATACGCAAAGACGTTAAATTTACTGTCGGAATATTCTAAAAGATTAAGTACTGTATTGATAATCTTTAAAGCTAAGCAGCGTCAATAAATGAAAAATAATTTTGTGAATGTTGTCTTATTTACTAATTCAGCACCAATTCTGTTTTTTTCCATGCACTAAAGCTTTACTTGTTTGTCACATGAATAAAAAAATAAATAAAAATCTTGAATTTTCGCACAAGGCCAGCACACAGAAATGATAAATGTCTCATACATACATTCACGAGCGCAAGAAAAGAGAAAATAAGAAGAAATAAAAACAAGTTTTACGCGCTGATATGAAAAGGCAAAGTTGGAGGCGCGATCGTTTGGTATGCTCATAAGTAAATATAGAAATACACATACAAAGAATCATATTATGTGGCCTAAATGGAGGCTCGTCTACATGCCATTGATATTTCATTGAGAAAAACAAGCTGAAATTGCGTCGTATTATTTTTTTATGGTGATGATGAACTCAAATTTCATCGTATATATTTTTTTTTGACTGAATCACGCGATATGATTGTTGACGCATAATACAATCTGCAATGTATATCTTGATATGATAAGAATAAGAAGAAATGACCTTGGAAAATATTTATTCATTTTCCTACAATTTTTTTTTTTATTTTATCTCAATTCAGCATGTGTTTATTTCGAGCCTTTTCTTTGGTTATCAAACCACACTCTTAAACGTCACTACAGATCGACATGTGTTATGATAAAAATCGACATATTTTACAACTTAAAGTCGTTCCTACAAAAGAAAATCATCCAAAAATTTATTGAATTCGAGCGCGAGCTTAATTTTTTTTTTCGCAAAAAAAAAGAAAAGAAATGCGCAATTTTTTTATGTTCCAATAAATGGAAAATCTGTATAGGACTTGATCAAATGTGCGAGTAAAAGATTTTCTTTTTTAGCGGATCGACGTCACACAAAACGAATATTTATATAAAAATAATTTTCATTTTAAGAGAAAAATTGAGGCCTTGTGTCTTTAAAACAGTCGCAAATGGTCTGTTTTGATGCTTATTTGTACAGAACTGGTATTGAACAATGAACAACAACTTCCAGACACACGAAATTTCTTCCACGAGGAAAATATTGATTAAAATGATAAGAAAATTGCGTTTCTTTTAAGGAATGACGATAAAAATTCTAAATCATATGATTTTTCATGGCAATTCTATTTTTTCCATCAATGAAATTGAAAAGGAGATTTTTTTTTGGTCAGTACGCGCGATGTGGATGACAAATGCAGTCACATGGTATCTAGAATTATTACTTTGTTGATATTTTAAGGGCGACTGAAGAAAAATCTCAAGACAAATTCATAAACAACACTGGTTGTTGACGTAAGAAAGTCCAACTGTTTGGCAGTTCCCTGTTCCCCTTTTTGACCTGCAATTATTCAAAAATTGCGGAAAATATTATCGAATAAATAATTCGCATTTAATTGTTTTGAATTAATTTACTGTGGAAAAATAAATTATATAACTATTCAAATCGTATTAATTAAGCACAAGTGATCGAAATTCAATGTCACTTGCAGTTATAAATGGAATTGAAAAATCATTTTGCTGAATTATTCACAATGATGAATTCTGGATTTTTTTGATGAGAAAATAGGAGTTTAATCTGCAAAATTACATTATTTGAATCACATCCTGTCAGTTTAATTTTAAATGTATATTCTATGATTTATAATAGTTCATCTCTAAATCATGCTAAATATTGCCACTTTTCTAGGCTAATCGAGAAGTTATGTCAGGCACAGTTCCTATCAATTCGAAAGCATTTGACGTAACGCAGTAGCAAAAATTATTACCTGCATCTGTGCTTGCAAATATCGTGACATCAGAACATATGTCCAGTGTCTGCTTTAAAACTAGGGCAGTCAATGACTTCCCATAAATAGATCAAAGGAACATTAATAATCTAAAAAATATTTCATTGCATAATAATAAATATAAGGAAGTAAAATAAATTTTCAGCACTTAAAAGTTCAAAAAAAAAACCCAAGTCATGGGATTTCCAATTATGGTTTTTCATGACACTTTCATACTACTCGAAAACAAAACAGTTGTAACCTATATATCTACGTTGATACACAAGCTAGATAAACAAGAGCCCCCCTTACACAAACATAAAATATCGCAATATGCTTTTCAAAGAAAAATTGTAAACAAAATTGAACATTTTTGCGACGTATCATCTTGAATAGTTCCATAGTTAAATATGTATTAATAAATAAATATTTTTGTACTTTACGAATTGTATTATATTTCAAGTTGACTGTCAAAATATATTATTAAGTTTTTGTTTAGAGGCAATTCACTGATTTGAATCAATAACATGGAAATCTTCTGATTTGATCACTACTTCTTAGTTAACAACTGTAAAACTATTAAATACAGCAAAGTTCTTGATTCTTTGAAATTATTATGAACAAAGAGTTAAGAAGATCTTAAATTTTAATTAGCTTTATATATTTTCATCCCCAGCAAACATCACTAACATGATGAATCAGCGAAAATGCAATTCTCACTTTCAGTCAATAGTTATTGATTGTTTGTTGTTTTTTTAAATCATTATTTCTAAACTTAACTAAAGTCAATAATAACTGCAAAACAATACAACGTAATTAATGATGACTGACCATTATGATCAATGTTTTTGAAAATATTTGAAATTCTCGAGGATGTGATGATTTGCACGATTCTTTGATTTGAAATGTTTCTTTATCAATTTTGGGGGCAAAACCATGATTGAAAATTGACAGGTATATTGAATGACATCTAGTTATTTCGAACTGATTGTCTCAATGAATGTTTTTAAGTTTAAGTTCAAGTGTTTTATTAGTTCTGAGGTTTTTTGTAGACATTTAATGGAAAGTTTAATATTTATGAATGATAAAAATAAAGAAGATTTCCTTAAATGAGAACCAGATATTTAAAATTAGAAGTCAAATTTTTTAAAAATTCTAGAAACATCGAATAACATCCAGGACAATTGAGATCTTTTCGTAAGTATTTCTAGGTTTATAAATTAGAATGTTTTATGCAGATTTGGACTTTTTATCCAATTGAATTGAATTTTTCTTTCAAAAAACTTGTAGTCTACTGAATTAAATCTGCAAACAAGCTTAAATAATAATTTAATGTCATTTCTGCAAACATAATAAAAATAAATTGCAAAATATAATAAATCATTGATCTCATTCTTCAACAAACAAACAAAAGACTATTATTAATCAAATAAAAATAATTTTGCCACGCGCCTCAACCAACTATCAACTCAGAATTGTCAGATCATTCAAGTTTAAAGACACAACATAACCCGAATGTTTGCAAAAATAACTTTTCACATAAAAGTCTCTCGTAGACGTTTTTTATTTATTTTTAAAAATTTAAAATATCAATCTATGAATCAAAACACATCTGGAAGTATCAACGTCATCAAGATTGATAAAAAAAAAATTATATCAAAAAATTAATTTACTACAGCTAAAAGCATTTTGATCGCCTCATGACTTTATGAGAGTGTAAGTAACGATTCTTAAATAATTTTAGAGGCACGAGTGATATCCTACTTTTTGAGTGAAAAAATGGAGAGACAAGAACTTCGGGTGTTTTCGTTCCAAACAACCGATCATCGTCGTCCGAGAATATTAAAAGCAACGATCATTTTCTCCCTCAATTCAGTCGTTTTTCATAGTTTGTGGTGTTCGGAACAAGCCGAAAAAAAACAGCAAGTGAATTTAAGTGATAAAGTGAAGCAAAAAAAATAAAAATTGAGAGGCTTTGACAAGTGCAAAGAAATTTAAAACTTCAGCAAAAGAAAACAAGTTGCTGAAAATTTTCAATTAATTATTAAATAAAAGAGAGACTTGCAATCAGTGCAATTAATTTATAAATAATAAATTACTTAAAATAACTGTCCCACATTTTAATCAAGATATTCTATAAAGCAACAATGAGCATTCATGGAAAGGTATGTAGACATATCATTAAATTATTCACGAGTTTATCAGGCAAAATTGAGCATAATTTATGAGTATAATCGAGAATTTTCAATACAGTAATAATTTTATATTCCATTCACAATTTTCTCTCTCAAAAAAAAAAAAAATTGTCGATGAACTGATAAAAAAATTCGCATAATTCAGGCACACAAAAAAACTGCTTGGCTTTTCAAAAAACATGCATAAATTGAAACAAGTTTATATTCTTACATCATTCAGTTGCACTTTCAAGTCACAAATCTACCTGAAATATTCAAGCATTCCAATACATTTCAATAATGCGACATACTTAATGAACTCTGACACCAATTGTCTGCTCATCGTCGTGTCTTACACAATCTCAAGAATTCTGATCTTTACAGTCTAGTTCGAATTACTCAAATAAAATCCATTCCTGATAAAACTAGTTCAACATTTTTTTTCCATTAATTGCGCATTTTTTTCATTCATTTAAATATTTTAAGTCATGTGCATTGATAATAACTTTTGTAGTTTTTTTTTCGACAATCTAAGCATTTATATTTGTGTGGTCAAAGACAGGCTACATATTCTATTTACAATCATTTTCTCTCCTTCATCTCGTGATTTAAGCTTTTCCAGATTTTTAATAATTATTGAAATTGCATCATTTAAGTTTTTGAGATTATCAATTTTTTTACTGATGAAAAATCGAGATTTTGTTGATTTTAAAGGTTTAAAATATTAAAATCTTATCAAGACATAGGAAATTTCCCTTTCTATATAGAGACGTAAGCTTCAAATATTAATCATTTTCATCAATGCTCGAAAAATCCCCAAATATTGTTTGTTTTCCTAAGAAATTGGCGCACTTTAGTTTCTTTGTTGTCTTTAAACAGAACTAAATAATTTTACTGAATAGCTTGTTAATTTTGCAATCAAAAATTAGCTGGATCTTTATAATAAATCCAAAACAAAAAATTAAGCTACAAACTTTTGAAATTTTCCACAAAATTCTGCAAAAATCGCAATACAAAGTTCCATTTTTATAAAAAAAAAAATCCCAAGAAACCACTTGAACTACACAATTATTGAAAGTTCTACAAATTCAAGGACTGCAAATAAATAAATAAATAATGTTATAACTTACTGGCGCCATGCTCGATCAGACTAGGTTTCCTTCCAATAGAATTGCCTGCAAATACAGAAATATTCTGTTAATTAATGCAAATAACAGCCAAAAATAATTCTTTACGTAAGCAGAACCTTAAATTATTGGTGCTATTAAAATAAGCAAAAAAGTAAGTTTGATTTAAATATTTTACGTACATTTCCCTCCACACACACTTGTCATTCACATACAACATGTAGAAAAATTGGAATATTGAAATTTATTTAAAGATATTCGTGTATATGAAAGCACCTTATGTCACTTCCATTAAGTTATTGCGTCTTATCAATAAAGCATTTTTAAGGTGACAGAAAAAAAAAATTGAAATTAAAAATGAGAAATTTTGTTTCTTTTTCTTTCTGGACGCGTCATTACATACAGCACGAGATTTATCATGAACTTGAAATAGATGCGAAGAAGAAGTAACAGTAGAATGTGTGTTTTGTGGCATTATGAGAACTGCGGCATTCTATTTATAGACTGTCTGATTTTATTTTCATGATTATTTGATATTAAAGTCGCGGATCTGAGCTTTTTTAAAAAAGTAAATAAAAAATGCACAATGTTTTATACTCAGACATCTCTTTTGTTACTCGATATAAAATTATAACTGTCGTGCACGAGCAACAGGTGTTTTTATGTAAATAGTATGTACAGCTACGGACTTGTTTTGCTGGAAGTTTTCTTTTAAAAATTTTCAATAAAACTTAAAATTCAAAAATGGCAAATTGCAGCCTCGATCATGCATAATAATATCACATTTAATCCATTATACAGTCACAGATTTCTTTTAAAATAACTATAAATGGAATGTGACGAAATCTTTTATTCTTTTCACAAATTTGCCATTAATCTTACTTTCTTTAGAGGCCAATAAGAATACTTACTGTTGCATGGATGATTAAGAGCTGTTCTTATCGTTTAAACTTATTGAGTTTATGTATTAATCACAATTTTCACTGATTCTAATTTTATTTCAACTTCCTCGCTTTGACAACAAAAATTTCAATGCTTACTAAGATTTTATCGATTGCATTCGCTATTTGATTGATATTGGAAATCTCAAGTGGTTTTATTATCGAAAAAAAGACTGTTCCTTATCAGCATTTAGTAGACACGAGGAAATTCATGAGAGTTTTCCAATGTTACAAGTCCTGTCGATATGATCGTCTGGTGATCAAACTGTGGTAATAATTAGAGATAAATAGTATTCTTCCTCTTGTTGAATGATCTTGATAAAGTTCAAGTATATATACCAAAGTGTATCCCTATGCAGAATGACAAGTAAACATCGACTTACGCAAATTGATAAGCTATAGCCCAAATCTTAATCAATTCCAACTCTTAATCTTAAAATTACCAAATTGTAAACATCAATTCATATAAATCCGCACGTCCTATTCCTAGGCTATAGCTAATTCATTCCACAAGTTTCTTCATCCACGTCACACGCTCTGCTTGTGGTTATCAGAAAAAGTGACGTAGATAATTACTTTTCAATTATCTTTAGTAATTAGAAATATTTGCTTTAATTAAGCCAAGTCATTGAGGATTGAGATTAAGGCTCATTTTGAACTTATGTAGGATTTACCGAAGGACACATCTGGTGATACAGTCATCGATAGTATCATATGACTGATAAAGCTCCCTTTAAGCCAGTAAATGTTGTTGATAAATTAATTTTTAGTGTTTCCCATAAATCAGCATACTCATTTATCGCGACGTCGGGAGATAATAATTGTAGCTTTTCAATACAGCTTGATAAGAATTCACATTAAATTAAAAATAAAAAAATCGAGCCCATATTCTCTTCTTTTTGCTTGCTTTTCTCTTCGGCTGGCTGATAACACATGTTGTGCTTATCAGCATTATTACTAGACTATTTAATGTTGCCTGATCATGTTCAAAGACAAAGGAAGATTGAATTGAGCTGATGAGTAGTCAAGAGGATTTGATAACATTATGATTAAGTTTTGTATAATTCGGAATATCAACTCTTTAATCCTCTGATCATGTTAGAGGTATTAAGCAAATAGGGAAATAACCTCTATTGCTATATTGAACTTGAAGTTCTATTTGGTTGTTTCTAAGCATAATGACGGAGAAGGCTTATCAATTATATTCAATTTGTAGTTTCTGAAATCACGCGGCTACTATCATTGGCTCATTACATGAATGGGAAATGCTGTAAAACTAATTATCTGATAAAAAGGAAGTGAAGTACAAGATACCGTATCTGGAAAGTTCTATTATAGTTGAGAATATTACGTAAGATTATGTTTAATGAAAATGACGAACTTTTTGCAATTTGAAAAATGTGGGCTATAAAGTTGGTAAAAATTGCATGACTTCCTGGTTTCAAGCTGATTCGTATTATCTATCAAATGAATTTATTGCCCTTAAACTTCGCTGAAGGTTGTCTAATAAGAAGCAACACCAAAAACTTTTCATTCGAAAGATACGACCTAATCTAACCCATATCAGCTGTCAGCAAACATCATTTAATTACTAATGCTTCTTCCAACCATCTAGAATGTGACAAATAAGCCAAAATAAGATAAGCTTATCTCAATAATTTTTGCAAGAACTGGCTAGAAAAGTTTCTTGAGATTTATAAATATTTACTTTGCCGCACAAGCGAGAATGTAAATAGCTTCGTGTCATGAACTCTTACGTCACAAGACAAGACACGGGACTGTAAAAAATATTAAAATCAAACATTTTTTTATTGCCAATGACGCGTCATTCTTATCATGCTTTCTTATTTACTCGATGCTCGCCTCCAATGAACTACAACAAAATATTTTCATAGATGAATTAATTGAAATGGAATTAAATAAGCAGTGCTGATTAACAAATTTGATTTTTTTGTTCTTATCTCTTTATAGAAAAGTTTACCTTACATTGTAAGGAAAGTTTTCGAAATTCAGCACAAGTTGTACCAACAACATGTTCGTATGTGCAGTACAGGACGTCTTCAAGAAGCATTGAAGATTGAAGATGAACAAGATTTTCCAAAAATCAATGACTTGAAGGCACAAGCAGAAGAAACCCAATATTATTATCCAGTCGGCAAATCATTCAAGCACGAACCAGATGTTGGTGAGCAATTCACTGTAAGTATTATTATAATAAATCAAGCATTTGATGCATCAATGCAATCAAGTACGTCATAACAAGCTAATTCTTCCTAGTTAAAACTTTCCCATGTTAACTTGTTTAGATCTAAACATGCAATAGCAAACAAATGCTAATTTTTATGACATTCATTATAGCACCTTATTCTCTTATGATTGAAATAGTATTCACAATTACGAGTGAGATTAGCTGGTCCACATCAATTACAACCTAAACCAGATGCTGATGACCTTCAATTTGGAAAGCTTTTCACTGATCACATGTTCAAAGCTGCTTATCATAAGCGCCTTGGAGGATGGCAAACACCAGAAATTTGTCCAATGGAAAATCTAGTTATTCATCCAGCTGCCAAAGTCTTACATTATGCTGTTGAGGTGAGTGTCCGAAAAATGTCACGTTAACGACTTGTTGATGCGGAAGCAAGGAAAATAGATAAATATTTATAGAAATAACTTGATAATCTACAGCTATTAGACTAAACGAAGCGCTATTCATAGTCAATTATTTCTGTTTTTTGCATAGAACTGCATAGAACTTCCTGAATGATAATTTAGCGACTTTAAAGAATTTAAAATTTCTCAATTTGAATCCAATGTCACATTGATTAACGTTATTAATGGAATCAGATGATCACACACATTGCCAATCGATTTCTCAGACGTAATTTTGTTCCTGATTTTCCATGAACTTACTTTATTTTAGTTTATTGTCCGCAAAATTTTTTAAAAAATAGAATTAATGTGTTTATAGAAAAAATGGGAACTTAAAAAAAATTTCATTATCAATTCTAGACATATGACAGTCGATAATAGACGTCACAAAGTTCTTATGTACTCTTTGTTATTTTTCCCAACGCTACAAAAACAGATCAATTACTGTGCAAAATTGAATTCAGCTACACACATCTCGTGTGCATTATTATTAATAAGTGGACGTCCATGTGCAAATGTGTATTTATTAATAAATAGTTCATACCTAGTAATGTAATTTAATAGTAGCAAATATTTTCCTGTTTTCGTAATTAATATTTATTCAAATATTGCATCCATTTGTTATTGTTATCTTATTTTTCCATTTCCCGATATATATCATCAGCTGTTCGAGGGAATGAAAGCTTTTAGAGGTGTCGATGGAAAAATTCGTCTCTTCAGACCCGAACTTAATATGGCTAGAATGAATGCAAGTGCTCAACGTTCTGGACTTCCATCATTTGAACCTGAAGAATTTATTAAATGCATATCAAGGCTTGTCTCAATTGATCAAGAATGGGTCCCTCATACAGAGTCTGCCAGTTTATACATTCGTCCTACCCTTATCGGAATTGAACCAACTCTTGGTGTTGCATCTTCAGATTCAGCACTTTTGTATGCAATTCTTAGTCCCGTTGGAGGCTATTTTGCTGGAAAACAAACTGGTGGAGTTTCATTATTAGCAGATCCACGTTTCACAAGATCTTGGCCCGGTGGTGTTGGTGATAAGAAGATGGGATCTAATTATGCTGGTACAATTCATGTACAGAAAGAAGCTACAAAGCAAGGATTCCAACAAGTGTTATGGCTTTATGGTGATGATCATCAAGTCACAGAAGTCGGTACAATGAATGTATTTGTATTCATGATCAATGAACATGGAGGTAAGCTATCCTTTTATAAGCATTGTATTAGTTAATCTGATTCTAATCTTTTGATAATAGAACGTGAACTTATCACACCGCCATTAAATGGTCTCATTTTACCTGGAATTGTTCGTCATTCAATTCTTGGACTCGCCCGTCAAGAGAATCAATTCAAAGTCACAGAACGTAAAATTACAATGCATGAGCTTAAGAAAGCAATTTACGAAAACAGAGTAAGTTTGAAACAAAAGAAGCTTCATTCCATTCAATCCTCATTCATTGTCCTTTTTTGTCTGTCTCTTAATCTGTAGGTTTTAGAAATGTTTGGAGCTGGAACAGCATGTGTGGTGTCACCAATTGAAAGAATTTTTTACATGGGTGAGAATTTGTTGATTCCAACAATGGAAAACAGTGATTCAGTATGGATCCAAATGCGCAATACCCTTTTGGATATTCAATATGGACGAGTAAAGCATCCATGGGCAATAGAAATTGATTAATGACCTCATGCGAATAATTTAATTTCTACTGAATATGTGTAAAAAAATATAATTGCCAAAATAGGATTAAGGAATTTTTTTTTTACGGATGGATATAAACATGTAAAGTATAACATGCTATATCCTGCAATCGAATCACTACACGGATGAGATGAGAGCAAGACTTTTTCAATTAATTTTTTAAAGTACAAAAATGTTCAATTGAATTAAAATTATGATGAAAAAATCTAATCATGCCTTCCTTCCGATCACTAACTCGAAATGAAAAACGAATGGGAAAATTTTCTAATAATCTATCTCAAAAATTTTGTGCGTATGATTTCATATCGGGATAGTCAAAGATGTGAGCTGTGCTATCGGGTATGAACTCTACATGATTTTGGAGCACTAGAAAACTGCCTAAAGATTTTTCTGAAAATGCTATAAATTCCTATGGATAAAATAACATTTGTCATTGCCGTACATACTTCTGAAAGTATACAACATTAATATTACAATTATTTTTGGACTAGCTGTAAGGCACTTTATTTTATTTTACTCACTTTGGATAGCTTTTAACGACTATAAATAAATTAAAAGACGCATATAAGGAAATAAGTCAAGGATTATTGGAGAAAATTATGAATCCAATAATGATGTATGCAGCTTTGCAAAAGCATTGCATTCTCGTACAGTTTGTGGCTGAGTTGTTTATCAGTAACGGGAAGTAACTGATATCCAGCAAAATAATGAATAATTGTCAAGTAATTCCAAATATTTGCAATAACAAGACGATAGAAACCTTGTCACGTGATAATTGTGATAAGCAGATGACCATTTATGCTGTACAGACTATATTAAATGCCTGGCAAGTTGCTGAACGATAAGAGACTTTTATTTATAAAAAAAATCAATAAATTTACATATTAAGAAAAATATTTATTTTGGATGGACGAAAAGGAATGTATCACATGCATTTAATGAATTGGCGACAAAATTTCTCTGTAAAAAATTAAAATGTTCGCACTTTTCTAAAAAATTTGAATTTTTGTATTAAGGTATTTTTTGTGACTAGCTGAAAATTGTGTTTAGGTCTAAAATTCTGAATTTTGTATATAATAATGTATATCAAAACTCATACAAAGCTGAATAATAAAAGCTGTGAATATTTTTTTCTTTCTTGATATATATAAAAAAAACTTTTAAGTTTATTTCATTTCTTGAACTTTACAGCTACATAAATCGTCAGATTCCAGCACCATAAGAACAATTTTAGCACACAACAATCATTTCCTTATAAATTGTTAAACAACGTTTTACTTATTTTGCATACACGTGGCATAAATAATTGGAATTAAATGACAAGTTTATGGTATAGGTAACAGATAACTGGATGACTAATCTTTAAATTCTCGTCATTAGATTTATTTTACAAAATAACGATAAATGTAATTTCAAATTCTTCATTATAAATTCAAATAAAAATTTCACGTTAACAACTTAATCTAATAAAATGGAACACAACAAGTTTCTGGGTAAATTTGTGCGGAAATGCGCTAATAAATCACTAACATCAAATGGAATCAATAATCTATGCTGCAATAATTACTCTTCTTCCTTTAAATCCATATGTTCTTCCAACCACGGTTTTAATTTTGCCCAAATCTCATTTGATGTATTTCCTTTAAATTCATTCAAAATTCCTTTCGTCTTATAGAACTCTAAAACCGGTATTGTTTCATTGTCATACACTTTCAGGCGCTTTGTTAAAATATCTGGGTCATCGTCTTGTCGTTTTATCAGAAGTTCGCCCGTGACATCATCTTTCATTGGTTCTTTTGGAGGATTGTAATCAAGATTGTATACTCGACCACTTGGCATATGGACATAACGTAATTTGACTCGTTCTGTTGATGAATTAAGGAATTTAATTATTTGATTAAAAGAGATTTAAAGGTTTTAGTCATCGTTGATAACATTTTTGGATATAAAAGGTCGTTTGAGGCAGCTTAAGGTAGTAACGGAAATTATTTGAATTTACCAACACACTGATAGATTACATTAATTTTCTAAGTTCAAAAATTTCACAGTTTCAAGCAAGTTTTCTAAGAACTGGATATATGCAGTTATTATTCATGCATAGTTCTTTTATTTGCATGTAACATTGCCTTGAAATTCCATTTTTTGCGAATTTTTACTTTCAGTCAACAATCCAATATGTCGTTAAGTAAATACAAGTTTAGACCATCTTACCTACAATCAGTTCATAAGGTACAACAAGATTAATGACAGAATCAATTTTCTGAACTTCCCACAGCTTCTCAGCTTGTGTTTTTGTACGAGGAAATCCGTCAAGCAAGAATGATCCCTTAATATCCTTAATCTCTTCCAAAATGCACTTGACCATGCTGTCATCAGGTACTAAACTACCCTTTCTAATGTATGTTTCAGCCTCAATACCCAACGGAGTTAGTTTCTCAATATTATTCCTCAAGACATCTCCGGTACTTAAATGAGTCGTGTCAAAGAACTTTGTGATCCTTCCAGAGATAGTTCCTTTACCCTATTTAGAATTTGAATTTAAAATTAAATTAAACTTATAACGTGCTGAAATATGCCACGAACTTACACTTCCAGGCGGTCCTAATCAACACGAAACAGACACAGAAAGAAAAAGAAGAAAAACAACATTTTGAATAAAACAGCAATAATATCTGAAGGTGAGGCACAAATATATGTTGTCTCAAATTATCAATAATGACACTTTTGTTCTGTAAACATTAATGAGATTCTAACTTACCCATTATTAATGCACGAAATAACTTTGACATTTTATTATTTTACTTCCCTTAAACCGACTCAAACGTGCCAAGATTTAGATTTGGAATGAGACTTTTTATGGAGCTCTTATTTTTTTTGAGAGCGAGCGTTGATAAGGCGTCTAAATTTTTTGTTATAGGTATAGAGTGATAAAAGAAGTGGGAAACAACAAACACACAAAAATAAAGAAAAGACACTCGACGATCGAAAGCAGATATGATGAATTTGATACTTTGACACTTGTGTTTAATGTTATTGTCACTTGTCTCACAAAATCACATTTAATTCTGTTAAACTAGCTAATTCTTATTTTATATCAAACTATTATGGACTTATGTAAATGAAATATCTTCCTGATATTCTGAAATTTCATTGCCATGCTGTCAGTTTGAAGCATGTGAGAGCACAGATGTAAGACATTTATTTTTATTGAGTTTGTATCCCTTTAGAATTTAAAGTATCAGCAGTGATAAGGCAAAACTGTCAATTTTGAACAATCATGTTTTATTCTATTTCAATTTTCGAGCACTTTTGATGCATCAGTTCGAGATAAACATTTTCTACAATTTTGAATCTTATCATTCACTAGCTTGTTAAATAATTTAAGTCTAACTTGCTTTTCTGCCTCTGAAATTTCTTCCTTGAATAGTCTGTACATGAATGCTTTCAAAGTAAGATCCATTTTTACTGGATCTAGTGGTGGTCGAGCTGGAAGTTGAAGATGAAGCTTCGATTGACATTTTTGTCCATGAGCTGTGGAATTTGCTAGTGTGACTCGATCAAATAAGAGATCCAGAACTTTACTGACAAACGCTGAATCTTTATGTTTGCCTTTTTCAGTAGATTTAATCTTTTCCGTCATTGCACTTTTCGCTGCTAATTTATAAATGTAAGCTATTGCATCTTGTGGAGTTATTTCACCGCTTTCTGTCTCTATTGTTTCCATATCGTCTTCTAAATATTCAGAATTGATGATTGTGATTTGGTAGCTTCCGTCATCATCTTTAGGGACTTTACTCATTGGCTTTTCATCAATTATGTCCTTCTCTACAAATGCCTCTGAATAATCTCGTTTTAAAGGCTTTGAATCGAGTTGCTGATCATCCTTAAGAATTTCTTCTTCTTGGATTGCGTAAATTGCTCCTTCTTGTTCCAAATATTCCTCTCTTTCAACCGTTTCTGTTTCATTTTCATAATCAATTGTATAAAACGTCTCTGATTTCGTTTGAACATCTGTTTCTGTATCAAGTTTCTCAATTTCTCCATAATCTAGTTCCTCATCAAGTTGCTTACTGTCTAGCTTCTTCTGTAAGTTGAAATTCTCGATTTGTAACTTTACATTAATTTCACGCAATATTTGGTTCTCGGATGTTAGTTCTTGAATCTTTCTCTTAAGGATCTCTATTTGCCGTTCCGATTTCATGCTTTGTGTCTAAAAACAGTTTAGTTTAATAACAAATTTTACAGTTTTGTTTGAAATTTTATTTACATTCTTAGAAACTGTTGTTTGATCAGCCATTTCAGCTGGTTCTTTTTATTACTCGATAATATAATTTATTTTAATAGTTTAAACATTAATTACAGTGATTTAAAATGCTTCTGGACCACAGATTAATAAATTAAAAGATTTCTAGATTAGTAAACAAACAATAAAACTGACAGCAAAAAAAAACATTTGTTTAACGGTTTAAAAATATTTGAATATGCATATTTCCAGTTGTTTTCAAACGTCGTTACTTGGCACTCAAAAAAAATAACAAAAAAAATTACAGCACAGAGCTTTAAAATGTCAAATAAATCAGAATTAACTTATGAAGTACCAAGTTCATTGAAGCAATTAGCTCGCATAGTTGTTCGTGGTTTCTACACAATTGAGGATGCACTTATAATAGACATGCTAGTGAGAAATCCTTGTATGAAGGTAAATTTGCCGAAATTGTTAAAGATCCAGCATTAATTATTGAAATTATACAGGAAGATGATATTGCTGAGCTGCTTAAATTTGAGAAAAAGATGCTTAGAGCAAGATTAACAATGTTAAAGAATGATAAATTCTTACAAGCAAGACTAAAAATGGAAACAGCAATTGATGGAAAGGCTCATAAAGTTAATTATTATTTTATCAATTATAAAACATTCGTTAATGTAATTAAGTACAAATTGGATCTTATGAGAAAGAGATTAGAGACAGAAGAACGTGACGCAACATCCAGAGCTAATTTTAAATGCACAAATTGTTGTAAACCATTCACAGACTTGGAAATCGATCAGTTATTTGACCTAGAAACTGGAGAACTCAGATGTACATTCTGTGGTAGTTCCGTAGAAGAGGATCTATCAGCTATGCCAAAAAAAGATTCTCGATTGATGTTGGCAAAGTTTAATGAGCAACTTCAGTCACTTTATGATCTATTAAGACAAGTAGAAGGAATTAAATTAGCACCCGAAGTTTTAGAGCCACAGCCAATTGACATTGATGTTATTCGTGGAATTATTAAGCCTAATGATCATCCAGGATCAGAAATTTGGTCAGGTGAAGCTACGAGAAATGGAGGATTCGCTGCAGAAGATGCTCGAGTGGATATAACAATTGGAGAAACAGATACGACCGAATCAACAGTTCCTAAGAAAGAGAGACCAATTTGGATGACTGAAAGTACTGTAACAACAAAAGAAGAAACTATGGACACAGAATCAATTCTCGAAAAAGTCGCACAGAATTCAGCAAAAACAAATCAATGGCAGGCACCAGCAGCGTCAACAAAAGGCAAGAAAGAAGCAGAGGAGAATATTATGTCTGTATTACTTGCTCATGAGAAACAAACGACAAAGGCTAATAATGATGCTGTCAAGAATCTTCATAATCCAGATGATTCAAGTGGCGGTGATTCTAGTAATGACGATGATGAGGAAATCGACAGGACCGAGATCCGTAAGTCATTTGACATGGGCTTGAAATATCTTAAATTTATGCTAATCTAAATTTCCAGCTATAATCGACATGATGAATGAAGATGAAGAATCTGAGGATGATGTACCTACAGTAATGATTGGAAATAAGCCATATCCAGTCACAGAAGTGACTGACAATAAAGACCTAATTGAACGAATGACACCACACGAAAAAGCTCAGTATATCCAGATTTATCAGGAATATTATGAACATTTATTCTAATGTAATTCATTAAGCTATTCGATGATTAATAAAAGTCTAAATTTACTATGTATGTACAGGTGCAACTGTCAATTAATATTTAAACTGAGTTCAAATCGTAACCGTCAAAATAAATTCAAATTGAGTACTTACTGTTTTTGTTATTGGTTGTTCCAAAAATATAATCTTGACCAAAAAAATCTTAATTAAAGTAGCTTAAAGCGCTGACATCACTGTTAATTTAAATTAATTACATTATTTGTATCTACTAGCATTAAGGAACATCAAAAGAATCTATTTAAAATGAATATTAACGCGTCACCAACATATCAAACATCAATAGAACAAAAAATTCGCGCTAGAAATTGTGCATTAATGATGAAGCATGGATCGCCTAAACTACGAGACTTACTTAGACAAAATTGTCGAATTAAGATGAAGCAGTCAAGAGAGAATGCATTCTCAACAGCTAGAAACGTAACAATAGAGAAAAGAGTGAGTAATTTAAAGCATAAAGTTTCCCCCCAAAAAAACCTTGAATTTATCATTTCAGCAATTAATTAAAACGATTGTGAAAGAAGAATTAATGCATCAAGAAATGGAGCATGATATTGAACTGCATGAAAACATATTACAAGAGATTTTTAATAATTGGGATCAATGGCAGAATGAAGAATATGAAAAGGAATTTATGACACTTTGTGACACTGACGAGAATCGAATTTTCTGTCCTGTATGTCTTAAAAACCTACTTAATCTTAAAGAGAATATTATTTCATGCAACTGTGGACTTAGGTAAGCTTAATTATTTATACTGACAAAACATCCAGTGAGACTTAATTCCACTTTTAGACTTTACTACCCAAAATCACTGAACGAATTTTTTGGAATCATCTCAATGAATGTCAAAGTACATGAAGAGCGGTGCTTAGATAAATTAACATTTTTCACTGAACCAAAGGATGGCTTCAATGTATTAGGATTAAATGCCTTTTGTGCTTCTTGCGACTATTATTCATCAATTCTCGAGTCAATTTAGCCGGAACGTCTGGGAATCATCTTTTACACTTAATGCTGTGACAATAATTCATGATTGTTTTTAAACTGTCTGCAAATTAATCTTAAGTTCATGCATAAATAGCCAAAATTATCGTTAAATGTAAGCATCACAAGAAACTGCTCGAAAAGATTTTTGTGTCAATCAAATGTATTTATAAAATAATTAATAAAATTGTAAGAGGAAAAAGTATGATTTTTATTCAACTTATATTGCCTTCTAAGAGACGGAATTGAGCCATAATGATTATGAACGATGTGACACCGAGTAAAGTCTGAAAATATAATTTTAACGTACTTTTATGAATTTGAAATGTGACGGTTTTGTAAATTTTAAAATTTGAGGCAAATTCAAGTTTAATTCGCCTTTTACGATTCAAAATCTACAAAACCGTTACCTTATAAAGAATAGATCCGTCAAGATTGAAGAACTCGTTTGCTGTAAAATAAAAATCAGCACGATTGAAATGAATGAAGAATTTTTCAATCGAGTCCTTGACATGCTTGTCACAATTTTCTGAATTTTTTCGTAAAATTTTCGAGCTTATTTCCAATTCATAGTAAAAGTTTGAACACGAAAATCCTATAGAGCTTAAAGCTCCTATGACAGGCAAACACCATATTATATCACAAAAGTTGTAAAGGTAGTAAATATCAGATGCCTGCCATATGTTGCTGAAGTAAAACGTTGCGAATGAAAAATATATTTCAGCTGAAAGAACGCCAAATGTGAACACAAAAAATCCAAAAGCTGTCAATCCGAAACTTTTACTCCACAAATTAATAAGGTCTTGAATCTCAAAAATTATTATGAATAATTCTGAAATCCGATGCTCAGTAAAAAATGATGAGCTTGTGACGAGACATTTGAGATTTTTGTTGACAATGCTCAGAAATGTGCAAAGTGCTTCGACTTGATAGAACAGAAAAAGTGATATTGTAGTAAAATAGCATGCAAAGAACATGTACATGGTAGACAAAAGTACATGACTGAGTGATTCATCAATTGTCAACACCGTATCGTAAATCAATAATAGTGAACCAAAGTAAATGGTGTAAATAGAAACAATATAGACAATATTTGATCTATTTTTAATGTAGTACTTTTCCAGTTCCATTTCTGAGAATTTCAATCTGAAAATTTTTCCTTCAAGAACTTTGAACTTTCTGAAGAATTCTTTCAACTCTTTAATGCGGAATAAAGTCACAAAGACTATAATTAAATGATTAATTATATTTGTTGACATTTCAGAATTATGAATCGTGGATGTGACTTTAGAATAATCATTAAGAAATTCATCTGATGACTGTGAATATAAAATTGCAACAGTAAAGGCACCAATAGTTCCTCCAACGCTCATCAAGATGTTATAAAAAAGTTTCTTCCTTGAGCTGCTTAATTTCTCAACATTGAATGTGAAAAACCCACAAATGTCTAGTATTTTAAGAAGTAACCACTGTGAACTTAGGAAATCCATTTACTTTGTAATGAGAATTTACTAAAACATTTTAAGGCATCGAATGGATGTACACTTATAATTTTGTCATATCATCATTATTGTTAAACACTTTTATTAATTAATCAACTTGGAAATTAATCAATTATGGATTACTAATTTGCTAATTGAAAACATCCAAAAACATCGCACATGGCGCATTCTAATTTGAGAATTGTAGATTGTTTAAAACAATTCTGAAAAGCAGTTAAAAATTTGAATTTTGAAAACAACCGATAAATATTTGAATTTTACAATACCGTTAAAAATCAGTAGTTTCTGAAACTTCCTCAAAGCCTGAAATCTTAAAAATAATCATGACTGCACATTAAAAACTCCAAACTCATTCTTTTCCGCTTCCTTTGTAAATGCCTTTTTATTATTTTTCAGTTGTTCTTGATATTATCAATCATGAGGCACTAATATAAATTAATATTTTAAAACTATGATTCTTATCTTAAGTCATTCTAATCCAGAAAACAATAATCCAGGAAAGAATTAAACAAAAGATGACCAACAATTTACTACAAGACTTACTAATTCATATATGACTTAAAAATGATGAAAAACTCAAATTTTTGTAATTAAAATAGATTTTTTTTGGATATAAATCTTAAATAAAAGGAATTAGAGAATTTCTTTGCATATATCTTAACAAATGTTTCTATCATGAATTATATTAATAAAAAAAAATCATTTAATAATTAATAGCTTAAATGGCAAATAGTGAAGAAAATAAAATAATAATTAGAGCTAGAAAAACTTGCTGACATGTCCATCAGTAAAATAAAATGAAGAAACAAATTCGTAGAGAATCTTATCTTGGACTTTCGAGGGATTTTAAGTTCTGAAGTGCTTTTACTACCTCTTCTTGCAGCGTTGTTGGAATATCCGCTAATATATCAGTCGTTGTGGATAGTTCACGAAGTTTGTTGGAAACAGCTGTGGAAGAGTGCAAAATGTTAATATCTATTGTGTCCAAATCCAAATATGTCAATTACCTGGTCGAATTTCCATTAATGAGCAATTATTGTCCACCCATAGCATACAAGTTCGATAAAGTTCGTCGATATTAGCAGTCGATACAGTTGAATTATAAGAGTTCAAAAGTGGCTCAAATATTAGACCGAACTGCATGAAAATATATTAAAATTAATCGGTTCCAAAAAAAAAAGACTTAATAACTTACGATCCAAAACTTCCAACTTCCCATAGTTCTCTGTCGGACATATTCTTGATACATTTCTCGCAAACGTCCCGTCTTTTGGCGATTAACTGGAGCTCCATTTGCTGGCAATGCGTTTTGTAAATGACTGTTAAGGAATCGGGCTTTAGTATCAAACCATAATCAAGTCAAAATAGAACTTACTTTAATGAATTTGTGAGAGTTTCAATCTCCTTTTTTAGTCTGTCCATTTCCTCGCTTACTAAAGTCCTTTCTGATCTCAACTGCTTAATATATTCAGCACCTTTTTGTAGCATAGCAGCTTTTGACAACTGATAAGGAAGAAAACACAAATTTAAGCATGCTAGAGCTTTCCAGCAAATAAATGACTCACCTTAGCATTAGGATTCTGTTGAAGCTGTGGGATCAAACTGTGGAGCATATCAAAGCCATTCTTAATATTGTACCGTCTTTTCTGTTCAGCATGGATATGTCCAGCACGTCGATTATCACGTGATTGATATTTACTCATGCCAATACATCTCTCAGGTGACAATGACTGTGGTAAATCATGTTGGTAACTGCTATTGCTTTCCTGATACGTCGATTCAGGTGACAATGTTGGCGTTTGATAGAGATTAGATGTTGTACTTGTTGCTGGCTGCTGCTGAATTGATTTATTTGATGCAGTAGCTGCATTTACGGCCATCAGAATTGAATTTTGTACTAATGATGATGATGTGAAGCTATTAGCTCTCTGTGGTTGAACATGTGGCTGTTGTTGTTGCATGGACATGGCACTTGATGAGATACTGTGAGCTTTCTGTCCAATTAAGCTCGTTGATGTATTCGTTAGTAATTGAGCCAAGGCACTGTTTGTATTAACATTATTAACATTTAATGTCGGTTCACTATTTGCTGATTGCAATGGTGTCATAATTAACTGATTATGACGTAAATTAATTGAATTACTTCGTGCTCTTGCATTCTTTATTTTCGTCGATACAACCGTAGATGCTGTATTTGTTGGATACTTTGGTACGGCAAAATCACCACTATTCATCATTTCCTTTGGTAATTGAATGTTTGCATTAATTGGCAAACTATTTGAACGATACATTTCCTTCATTGCTGCAGCTGTAGCATTTTGTTGATGCTGTTGATTTTGTTGCTGCTGAAATGATAATGACTTTCCTATACTGCTCGAATGAAGAGGTGGCGATTGTTGACGCATCATTATACGATTTGTTGCATTATATCCGGAATTTTGTGATGGAATTTTGTAGGGCTGCTGATTGCTGTGATGATATGATCGAAAACTTGGACTTTGTGGTGACTTGTAAGAACTGCTATTATCATGTGTCTGCTGCTGATCAATTCCAATTTGATTTTGGAGATTCGCTTGTTGCTGCTGATACATCTTATTCTGATACATTTGATTATTGGATAAATTCAATGCATTTTGTGCATTAGACAATTGCTGATTATTGCTAGTCATTGTCGTATTGAAATTATTTGTGGTTGTTTGGATGGGTGACATATGATTGATATTTGTGACATCATTTAAATCCGTATAGGGACTTGTATTGTACATTTGAGCAGGTTGAGGCGTCTCTTGCTGTTGAGCCAACATTTGTGTATAAAGTGTCGTTTGGTGCGGTGTCGGTTGACATTTATCATAATTATGAGGCTCGCGTTTACTGTTATTTAATATTGAGCTATTAAAATTACATAAACATTTTATTATGTATGTGAAATATTAGAACTTACGGCAATTGAGATTTCCACTGTAAAACTCGCGAAAACTTTCCTTTATATGAGTCTTTGTCATCGTGGTCTGAAGGTGGTGCCATCATTTGCTGCTCATTCGACTGAGCTTGTTGTGCATGACTTATATCTATTCCTGTACCACCCATAAATGGGTTTAAATCAGTCATCATTCTTATCGATTCACGATCATGAATCTGATTATTTTGTAGGGATAAAACGTGTTGCTGTGTATTATTACTTTGTGACATGTCTTGTGTAAAAATAGTTGCTGTAAATAATAATTGATTTGACGTCGAGTCCTGCTGCTGATCAAGGTTCATTGTGTTTGACTGTATTACACTATGTTGCTGTGCAGTCGGGTGCGAGCTAATTATATCCTGCATAGTTGATGTGTCTATCGACGCTACATTAATTGAAATGATAAGTAAGATGTGAATTAGTTCAATAAAAGTTATTTGGGGCCGTTCACTTTTTACGTTCGCATTTTAGGGGGGAGGGGGGGTTTAAAAAATTGTAAAAAATGTAACATAGGGAGGGGGGGATGTCAAGAAGTATGTAACGTCGTCTGTCTTTTAAAAAAAATTATCAAAATATAATAAAGTATGAACGGTCAGGGAGGGTTGTGAGTTGTAACATATTGTAACAAGGGGGGAGGGGGGGGGGGGGGGGGTGAAAAAAAGTAGTTTTTTTGGGAATTTTTTAAAACTATTTTAAGAATCTAACGGACATTTTTGAATTTTCGCATCTTTTTTGTGTCATTTTAAGTTCAAAATTTCAAAAAACCGTTAATCTTAAAAATTTTCAAGGTCAAAAAACATTAAAGTCGTTCATTGAACTAAAAGATGAAGTCACACAGAAAGCCATGATGTCATTGCATGCGAAGAGAATCTCAAAAAATATTTTCTATTTGCCTACTTACTTATCATGGGGAACTCAATATCTTTGAGCAGTTCTTCAGATTCGGGAACTTCTTGAACTGGCGCTAATCGATTATTTAAATACGTATTCAATATATCTGTTGAGGAAGAGTTAATTGGATATAAAATATTAGCATCAATTAACAAGATGTTTTGATAAAGTAGGTAAAAAACAATCTACAAACCTATACCTATATCTAGATCCATAAGATCATCAAAATTTGGTTGAAGGGGTCCTAAAGATGGCTGAATAAAGTCAGCTCGTCCAGCACGTGCTAATTATCATAAATTAAAATTATCATACTCAAAATAAATTATTTTTAAACAAATATTTTTTTAACATACCAATTTCTCGAGAATCAGGAAATGGAAATTGTGATATGGTCGAGAATAGAGTATCACTGGACATATTATCTGATAACATCAACAAATTGTCATTTGACCATTCTAGGATATCTAATTCACTTTTCTGTAATGAAAATATTGACATAATTCATAATAAGCATAAAATTAATTAAAGTAAAAGCATTGACATCAATAAAATTTATGCTGAAACTCGATTTTGAACAAATTAAGTCGCAGTAGCACTTAATAGTTTAATTTCGATTGTGACAAGCTGTGCATTAACATGAATTATTTTGAGGCTCAAAGTTCATTAATAAAAGTTTTGAAAAAAATATTTAAATTTTTTCCGTATAAAGTCGACGGACTTAGAGCAATACCGAGTCGTAGAGAACGTTTAAAGAGTACTTTATGGATGATATTATTGATTTTGACATATTTAATCAATGTAATATACTTTACGATGGCTTCAGGAACATATTTGAATGACGATAATCCAGTCACATCAATGGCAATTCTAATTGAAGGAATTATGATCTTTTTAGCTCCAATGCTGTTCTTATGGCCAATATTATTTAATCACAAAGATCAAATTGAATTGCTGAATAATTTATTCAAGATTGAGCTGCATATTTCAAGGATGCCTTTCACTTGATTACAATATAATCGAAAATTGAGATCAATGACATTCGTGGAAGTGATAATTAACGTTATCAGCTCTTTAATTTACTTTTTGTTCCTTACAACCACTTATGTGGGACCAAATCATTTACCATTCATTTCTTTAAGTTTCATTTCGATTCTACAATATGGATGCATACTTCTCATCATGCAGTTCATAAGTAACATCCTTAAAACATTTGAAAATCTGTTTATTGAAATAAATCAGAACCTAAGATTGATTATTTCTACCAAAGGGATAGACCACAAGTGCAAAACCTTTCAATCCATTCTAAAATGTCATCAAGATCTAATTGATTCCATTGAAATCTTTAATAAAGCTTTCGGAATAACTTTTTTTGGAGCATTTGCATCGGCATCCTCAACTGGAACTTTTGAGGTATATTTTGCAGTCAGTAACGTTATATTTGCAACAGATCGATTGAATTTTTTGACTTTAATCGTTCTTACTGGAAACTTGTCAACGATTTTTGGCATTTTATTTTATTTTTGGAAAATTGGATCGACAGCATGTTCAGTCAAGGAAATAGTAAGCTTTATTGAATAGAATATAATAAAATTTGAGTTTTCTGGATGTTTTTGAAACTGAAAGATTTAGAATAACTTTAAGTTCTCTTCATCTGACCCATTCTTGGGTTGTGCAGCATTTGAGATTTAAACTCTACATACTTTACCAAACTATTCATTTCAAATCTGTGAAACTTATTTTCACTTCCACACATCTTTATTGATTATTTGTGACTAGAATAGAATAACTTCCTAAACCAGGAAAACAAACAACCGCAATCCTTTAACGCGTACATTATCTCCCATTTAGGTCAACAATACAAGTTCCATTATCAATGAAGGACAAATAAATTCATACTGGTTATCAAATGAATGCAAGGTAAGAAAAATCTCACAAACACGGTTCATCTAAGATCGATCTTTATTTATTATTGTTATTTCCTGCAGCAACTTAATCGCTTCTTATTACATTCTATGCATGCAGAATTGGACTTTAGTACAAATGGCTTCTTTACAATCAATTCATCGCTTGTATATAATGTAAGTTAATTCTTATCTTTATTTGCATCCAAAAAAGGGAATCAACAAGTTTGAAAGTTGAACAAAGATATTTTTTGGTATCTAAATGTCTTACAATTATCAAGTGCCGATCATGTGTGTTAAGATAGTATCGGCTTTAATCCTGTACATGTACGAATTCAATTGTGAAGCCTGATCAAGTGAATTAATGAAATTGTAAAATTGCAAACATTTGAATTATTTTAAGTCGTCATTTAAAGCTTCGTCGTCATCAGCCTTAAATCCTGCCTTAAAAAAACTTTCCCTCCTTTATCATTCTAGTATATAACGAGTACAGTCACGTTTATAGTAATTTTAGTACAATTTCGACAACTTTATGACTCGAAAAACGTTTCATGATTGATCATCAAGCTGTTATCATCCTTATCAGTAAATTTTACTTTTAACTAGTAGAAATTAATTAAAGCGATTATCATTGTGTGCATTAAGTCTTTGAATGTATTAAAATTAACAATGTACAAAAAAAAACCTACAAAGTGATATATTAAAGGTAAGTGCACTCTTAATACACATCAAAAAAATGATTGATCAGCAGAAACTAACAATGTTGCAGTCATTGTTCATATTTTTTTGATTGGAATTGCTTGTTAATGAGGAACAAAAACATCAATAAATTGTAACAGTGATCAAAATAATTATTTTGTTTTTTTCATGACATTTTTATCTAATCAGCTTGCACGTTTTTGTCGCAAATTTTTTACCCAGCATACCTTTCTGATACTATAAACTACTTTTTTGGTTATCTTTTGATATAAAACTGAGTCTGACTGCCTACATTGATATCAAAATTGATTGAAAATCATAGACTTAGACCTTTTGTAACTAGGGCATTATAAAGCTTTTGAGGCTTACGTAAAAATTACCTTCGGAATTCCAGAAAACACCAGATTCAAGTTCCAAAAGTCGTTTCTTTTAAAAGAACGCAATTTAATTTTGATAAGAGTTTTTTTGGCTAGGGTCATTCACTAATAACGGGAATTAAAAATAGAAAGCTTCTATAAATATTTTTAGGCTAGATTCATGTAACATGTAAGGTCTGGATTATTTTTTTTAAAAGATCTCAGTTTTTCTAATGACATCAGCTACATACATGGACAGTATTTTAGATCTTAAATAGTCTCTTCTTATTCTTAACAGGCAAGATAGATTTCATATGCAAATGTACCCGTCATTTACAAAATAGCTCCTAAACCGCTCGACTTACATAATTCATTTTTCTAAATCACTTCCATAAGCCAAACGTCATAAAATTAAGCTTTTCATAAATCAAAATGATTAATTGTAAAATTGCTAAAATATATTTATTTTAATCTAATCTACTTTCTTGACTTTTTATCGCGTCATGTCTGTTTTTGGTCGTATCAAAATTAATTAAAAGGAATCGCGTGAGGGGGGTCTTAAGTAACAGAACCAGAAGAAAAAATTTATCATATTAGTGCAGCTTATTTCATAATTGACTGTTAATTAAAAATTAATTCATCAATTGCAGACGATTGATGCTATTTTCTCAGCAGGTGCTTATTGTGACAAAACAAAAATCAAAATCAGGACATCAATCATAAATTTTAATCAATAATACCTCAATTTCTTTGTTATCAGGCAATGGCTTAGCAGCAATAGCCTTATAACACGAGAAAAAGGTGATGGAAAATTACAAAAAAAAAAAAAATCAACTTACCGTATCTAAACAGCTTATAGCTCCGAAAGCTTTGCTAACATTATATCGACGCCACTTTTTGTACTCGGCTGTAATAACTTTCCACTTGCGCTTCCAGTACTTGCCTTCTAAGATGATAGCCTGTGTAAATAGACATTACTTTTATTACTGCACGTGGTGCTTAAATTGATAATCAATAATTGTTTGCTTAAATGTTCTCAAAGAACAAAAGCAGCGACATTTAATACTGCTGTATCATAATTAAAGGAAATTTAACTTTTTTTACATTCTAATAAGTCACGTGCGGATGTTGATTATGTTTTTGTGTGCTCATACCATTTAGATATGATAATGAAAAGTCTGTCTTGTCTTTATTATAAAATTGGCCTGTCAGGTGCATGGTTGCATTCTCAAATGAAATGTTGTTGACTCAAATGTCAAGGAAGTCACTAATGTCATTCAGTATCTAAGAGTCTTTCGTTAAAAAAGATGGATTCTCTTCATCGAGATCGATGGATGTTTCAAGGAGATTAAAAGTATGTTCAGCTAAGATATTTAAACCCTGCAACCCTTCATTGAACTTACCTGAGGTGTGTTATGTATGTCTACGTCTAATGGAGATGCAAATTGGCACACAGATGGCCTCTTTTTCAAGATAACTGTCACAAGAAATGAAAAGAAAGTTTTAATTAATTTTAAGAAATTAAAATATAGATTAATAGTGGCATGACTAGGCAAACGATTGGAACAAGTTTAAAATAGTTCTTAAGTATTATCCTTAAGGATTAATAATGTTGTAGTTTACCCGAATTCGTTTCTTTTGAGTCTTCTTGTAACGAGTTCTTCTAAGGACGGAGTTAGACATTAAAGCACTACAAACCACCATGTTGGTGATTATATTAAACTTGGTTATAGATTTATTAATGTTTTTAAATTCCTATACGTGGCAAAAATAATGTCTGGTTATTTAAAAACTTTAAATTCTTTAATTAAAACTTCACAGGCAATAAAAACTTGTCTCTATTTAGCTCAATACTTTGTAGCTATATTTGCACAATTGTCTATGAAAAAAAATATGGTCTAAAGTTTGTTAAATTTCAGTCTGAGGCTGATGAAATGTACACAATAGTTTTTCTTTTTATTGAGTCTCGCTTTTGTCGGCTCAACAATATTCAATGATGTTTAAAACTTCCACTATGCACTGCGAGTTTATGATCGCCACCCATCAACCTGGTCGTGGCTTTATGATGATGAAAACCTTTTTTCGTTAGTTCAAACATTTAATCACACAAATTCTTAACCATAAATCTTTTGGTACGATAAAAAATATATTTTAAGTAAATATCCACGAAATCAACACACGCGTATGTCCACTTGATTCACAAAAAAAATATTCTTGACAAATAAAATACGTAAATGAGAATGTAAAATTGTTATTTATAGACGATCCCCCCACGAAAAAAAAGGCAAAACTATGACGAGCACTTTCGTCTAATTTTAGCAAACAATAACTTATAACTTTTTTTTGTTTACAAGCTTTTTGTCCCACAATTTTCACTTTTAAATGATTGGATATAAATATTAAGTAATGAAGCTCAAAAGAGAGAAGTACAATGGATCTTTCGGTTGAATTATCACTGAGTGATTGCTAAACGTGCTACGACATCAGTAGACTTTTATAATGTTATTGCTTTCCTTATCAGAGAGAAAAAAAATTTCACTAATACATTGTAAGTAGTCACTCTTCATGTATTTATAAATATGTATATAATAAAAAATATCAAATTGTTTTAAGCCACTCCAGACACTCCATGAGACTTTTTGTGATAAGGCATCTTACTCATTTTTTTTTCTCAAAATGTTCAACTTTATTTTATTTTTATATTTTATAAACACATTTAAAGGCAATTTTGACTGTATTTTACGGCATGAATATCAAAAGATACTTAGTTGCTGCAGATTTTGTACTCAAATGGATACAAAATAACATTGTAAATTGCACCAATTAATTATGACTGTATCCTGTAACTTAGCATAATGAAAATCAATGTTCACAAGCCCAACACGTGGGTAGAAATATCCAGTCAAAATATAAAACAAGGCAACAGGTGAAACTTCGCAAACATCTCATTTATGTCTGTTGGTAACAATAAAGTCTACATGTGTACGATATGATATTTTTAACATGAGAATATTTAGTATTTTTATGAATACTGTTTTGTTGCTCATGACTTATTTTGAGAGAATAATATAAAGTTCTTCTTACTGCCTTTCTATTTTCATCACATTCTGTACTTTAGACACAGATCCGTGTCAATTCGATGATACATAATTTTAAAGGTCGTTATTCGGAGGATTTTTGATAAAGGAATTGAATCTTTATGATTTTTAATAAAATACTTTATAAAAAAAAACTTTTTAAAAAACTACGTTTTTCGCGTAGACTAAAAAGTAGAAAATAACTTTTATTCTTGGTTGTAAAGAATTTGGTTTTAAATTTTCAGATTATATTTAATAAATTTTTATATCCCAGTCAATATTGTTCACAAAGTTTCGAATAAGTGCACTTTGATCTTATCGTATAACTCAACAACTTAAAAACGTGGGCGCATTAATTTAAGTTTATCATAAAGTATTGATTTCACATAAACTTATTTCTCCTCTTATAATGCGCCCACGTTTTTAAGTTGTTGAGTTATACGATAAGATCAAAGTGCACTTATTCGAAACTTTGTGAACAATATTGACTAGGATATAAAAATTTATTAAATATAATCTGAAAATTTAAAACCAAATTCTTTACAACCAAGAATAAAAGTTATTTTCTACTTTTTAGTCTACGCGAAAAACGTAGTTTTTTAAAAAGTTTTTTTTTATAAAGTATTTTATTTTCTACTTTTTAGTCTTATTCTAATGAAATAGAGAAATAAAGATTATAGGGGGTTTATAGGTTACAGGTGTGTTGAACTCCACTTCGTTGCACTTCGTTACGTTCAACTGTTTATAGATCACAGTAGGTTTATAGGTTACAGGTGTGTTGAACTTCACTTCGTTGCACTTCGTTACGTTCAACTGTTTATAGATTACAGTAGGTTTATAGGTTACAGGTGTGTTGAACTTCACTTCGTTGCACTTCGTTACGTTCAACTGTTTATAGATCACAGTAGGTTTATAGGTTACAGGTGTGTTGAACTTCACTTCGTTGCACTTCGTTACGTTCAACTGTTTATAGATTACAGTAGGTTCATAGGTTACAGGTGTGTTGAACTCCACTTCGTTGCACTTCGTTACGTTCAACTGTTTATAGATTACAGTAGGTTTATAGGTTACAGGTGTGTTGAACTTCACTTCGTTGCACTTCGTTACGTTCAACTGTTTATAGATCACAGTAGGTTTATAGGTTACAGGTGTGTTGAACTTCACTTCGTTGCACTTCGTTACGTTCAACTGTTTATAGATTACATTAGGTTTATAGGTTACAGGTGTGTTGAACTTCACTTCGCTGCACTTCGTTACGTTCAACTGTTTATAGATTACAGTAGGTTTATAGGTTACAGGTGTGTTGAACTTCACTTCGTTGCACTTCGTTACGTTCAACTGTTTATAGATTACAGTAGGTTTATAGATTACAGGTGTGTTGAACTTCACTTCGTTGCACTTCGTTACGTTCAACTGTTTATAGATTACAGTAGGTTCATAGGTTACAGGTGTGTTGAACTCCACTTCGTTGCACTTCGTTACGTTCAACTGTTTATAGATTAGAGTAGGTTTATAGGTTACAGGTGTGTTGAACTTCACTTCGTTGCACTTCGTTACGTTCAACTGTTTATAGATCACAGTAGGTTTATAGGTTACAGGTGTGTTGAACTTCACTTCGTTGCACTTCGTTACGTTCAACTGTTTATAGATTACAGTAGGTTCATAGGTTACAGGTGTGTTGAACTCCACTTCGTTGCACTTCGTTACGTTCAACTGTTTATAAATTACCAGTTTTCAATGGGAAATTAGTAACGACTTTCAAAATTTTTCATTCGTTTTATAAAATTTAATTTTTTTAAAGCATTCATTAGTAAGGTACATTAAAAATCACTCGTAAAGATTTTGTGTTTATCTGTACCATTTCTACTTCATAACGTGTGGATTCTTAACATAAAGATGCAAATCACATATGTAACGTATTTATAACGGATTTTCAAATTTAAATTCAATGAATATCATTTATATGTTATGCAAAAATACGTCAAACCGTTAATAAAAAGAAAAGTCAATTTAATTAAGTTGGTGAAGTGTTATAAATAATGCAATACATTTAAAACAGCATAAATTTATGCTCAAACTATGTGTGCTAAATGCACATCGTATATTAATAGTTATTTTGCATTAACCCGTTCTTTACTAGCGTAACATATATGTTACGCCAACTTTTTCTTAAAATTCTCTGCAGTAATTGATTTTACATTGAATCTGATTAATGATTTACATTTAAAGCTAGATCAAGTACCTTCCCTAATACTTTATGCTTCTAATTTATGTAAATTGGAGAAATTAATTAAACTTTTCTCTTACATGGAAATTTTAGTAATTTTGAAACTCAAAATTTTGACATTTTCTGTCACATTTTTGATCAGAACTGGACAGATTTATAAAGTAAATCATCTATACTTATAGTTAAAAACTCATTAATAAAGGAAAAGAATAGTTAAATACATTAACTATGTGACGATAGTAAATGTAACATATATGTAACGCTAGGAAAATCTGATATAAATTGCCCGTTACATATGTGTAACGCTAGTTTTTTGCAAGTATTTAAGTGTTTCGGATTTAAAAAATAATTTAATTAATTAAATTAATTTGGCTATGAATTAAGTCAAATCATTAAGTGTACTGATTAATTATGATAAAAATAAGTGATTCAGTGGAAAAAATATTAGAATGAGTGCTTTAAAGAGGATTTTTTTATGTTTGAAAAAATTACCATCAAAAAATTAAGAGAAAATTTGAAATTGATTTTTTTATTATTTAGAGTAATTTTGAGTGATTCATAGTGCATTAGTTTATAAAATAGAGTGTATATAAGGAGCTAAGTGAGGTCCAAATGCTGAGAAATGATTCATTTGAAAGATATGACATAAAATAAAAGCGTAAATAAATTAAGGTTTTTTCGTTAATCGGTGCATTACAGTATTCAAATTTGACCTCTTTTGAAGTAAAACAGCATAAAACTAATAATAAATTATGCTATTATTCACATATGCTAAAGAAAAAGGAGAAACAAAGGAATTAAATTTTTTGGAAGAAAAAAATTTTTGCTTGCAAAATCCTAGCGTAACATATATGTTACGGACGAATTTTGTTAATTTTATTAAATCTGTTCATTAAATTGAGCCAAACTCTTCGTCAAACTTATTTTTATACTGCAATCCATCAAATAAATACACTCTAATGTCCCAAAAAAAATCCGTAATTAACGGGTTAATTCGTAACGGACTTGTGCTTAACGGTTTTTTTGAAAATTCAAATTTTAACTTACGAATATTCATGAAAAAATTACATGTCAATTTTTTTGTCTTACCAGAATATCTTTAGCTGCTCAAATTTATGGTATAATTAATAATTAGTAATATTAATTAAACTATAATGAATCATATAAATGACTTTAGAGCATCACAAGTATAATATTTAATACAAATCAAAATTTTTTATCATTGACATTGGATTTTTTCCCATATAAAAAAGTTTTACATAAATTGTACTATAATTAAGCATTTTTGTGTTTCCAAAGTGTTAAAATATTGTATTGTCACCGGGAATACATGTGCATTAAAAATTTGAGCTCGATTGGAGCAGTAGAAGTGGTCGAAAAATTGATCGCAAGATTTGAAATTTTTTGCAAACAAACAAACAAACAAACAAACAAACAAACAAACAAACAAGAAAGCAAGTTAAGAAAAACGTAGTAATAATAATAATAAAAACTCTGTCCATAAAATATTCGTGATAGAATTAAAAATTATGTTTTTTTTTTCAAAATTGAACTTCGATTTGGGTCTGAAATCAATTGCTGCTTAATAGAAACGAACAATATCTCTTTAGGGTCAATACACAAGCCCACAAGCTATATCAACAATTCTCGTGACTTAAAAGAAGAAGAAATAAATTATTTAAGGTATTAAAGATAAATGAATGCCCAAATCTTTTCATTTGATGAATATTGGAACTATCATACCTAAATCACTCCATAATCTCATATCAAGTCATAATCCCAAAACAGTAAGTAAAATTAGAATTCTGTCCTTTATCATTACCCATCATTTAATGACGTCTTTACACACCTTTCAGCACCATTGAGGCCTTCTTATCAATTATTACTCTATCACGAGTCCCAGGTGTGAGACAGACATGTGATAAACCGACCCACCGACATCAAAAATGTTGTTATTTTTTGCAGCAAAAAAATAATGATCACATCCTTGATAAGATTTCTTGTGTGTCTGTTTGGTTAAAATTATTTTGATTAAAACTGTCATAAGTTATTTGAGGTGGAGGTCAAACGTGTTTGGGGCTATCCTCATTATTGTTATTGACTCGTTATTATTGCTTACTTAGAACAAACTTAAATGTGAAATGGGCGATTCTCCAGATAGGTTGAATGTTTAAAAACAGAACTGTAATTCCACTGCTACTTGAAATTTTTAAATTTTTGAAATACGTTGGGAAAAATGTAAACAAAGACTTGTTTACAAAAATAAAATTTTGTTTTAATTTATAAAAATCATTTTTTTTATATGTTTTAATTAAACAAAAGGTAATTAATAATTAATATTGCACTCAATCATCATCGTTTCTTTTAAAAATATTCCATTTAAATTTATAACGTATTTGAAAAATTTGAATCTCACAAATTAGTTTCAAGCGCTTTAAAAATTACTCGAAGACAAAATTTTCATCAAAAGAATTGAATTTTCTTGTGAAATTTGTATTAAGCTTAATAAAATTGTTGTCATATATGATAAAGTAGTTCGTTTTCTATCGATTGGTATTTATATCATATGTCAAAGAATAGTTTTTAATACTTAATTTTTGATTATAAAAATCAAAATTCCATATTTTGTCTTCGAGAAATCGTCCGAAGAATCGAAATATTTCCTTAATTAGAGTATATTGAAAGCATTTAATTATACATATTTGTAGAGTTTAAAAAGTTGTACAACATTAATTTGTCTTTCAAGGCTCTCTAATGGAAAAAAATTATAAAAAATTCATTTTAGTGGTGGTTTTTTGAAAATTTTTATCTGGAGAATCGCCCAAATGGAAGTGTACTTCAGAATTTTTTTGACATGATGTGTGTGACATAGTCAAGGAACTTTACTTCAACTAGCATTGTGCAATTTCTAGTCATAGTAACAGCACTTAATGTAATGGCTAAGAGGTTTGCTTACTGTGGAAATCTATTATTATGTCAGATGTACTTTCTTTTGTCTAACTCTAATCCGTAGCCCAAAGGATAATGATCACTACATTGCATTAATTAGCCTAAACTCTACCCTCAATTCTTAATGTTTATCTATTCGATATCAACAGATCAGCTTAATTTCACAACTTCCAGCTTTAAAAACCAGTTCCATCTACTTACAAATTCAGTATAATCTGCAATGATTTCGAGTTGATTGGATGATACAGAAGGATAAAGTAAATGAGTGAAAGTTTAAAAATATATTCCTGACGTCAATTTACATAGATGATTGTGATGAAAAAAGATTCCGTCAAGCGATAACAAGTCTCATGAGTATAGGAAGAAGGCTTAATAAATATTTGTAGGATTTTATTTGTGAAGTTTGCCATTTTTTTGGGCTCGTCACATTTTCATGTGTACTTTAGACAATCAAGCGAGATATATTCGCGACATACCATAAATCACAGGGAACAGTAAGATTATTAGTAAAGTCCTTATCATATATTTATCAGTAATGCCACTTTGTGATACTCAAAACATATTATTTGAGGGATTATATTGGATTATACTCACATTGCATATGCCAACATCTCCAAATGACATTGTTTAGTCGAATTTTCTCCTTCCATCTTAACTTAATGCCTTTAAATGGATTCCATTTTGGCGATGTTAATTTTTGTCTGAAAAAAAAAATACAAAAATAGAAATTAAGATAAGAGAAGTTTGGCATATTAATCATAATAAAGCAACTCTCGACAGCTTTTATCACTCCTTCTTATTTTTATACCAAAACATGATATTCGCGCTTATCTGGAAATTCCTTTTGACATTGCCGTAATTAGGATAATGACAATCCATAAACTTTTACTTTTCATTCATAAAATTTTCCTTTCCACAAAACATCAACTGCTTGTCTACATCTGAACTTTTACACAATAACACAGAAAAATTCACTATGGCTCAATTTTTCATTCAGAAAAATTTTTCAACTAGTTTGATCGATACGAGTGAAAAAAAAGTGGGGAATTCCTCATAAATCGGGCCACAAAGTGCACTCATTCAGTTGCAGTGTGGAAGCTAATCTAGTTGATTATGAAGGAATCTAAACATTTTTTAAGAGATAAATAAATTAGCTTAATTCCATTAGTTGTTGATACTTTCAAGTTTTTTTAATTAAAAATGTTGTCGTTATCGCGAATTAGGAAGAAACTTTTTTAAAGCTTTTAAGGAACAATAAAGTCAAAAAAAGATTTTTTTTTATAAGAAACGAAAATTATTGAAAAATGGGAAATACAGAGAGTAATGTTACATCTGGTGTGAAAAAGCAGGCAGGAGTTTCCACACAAAAGCTTTATAAACTTGTGAATTTAAAAGGTGGTGGACTTCTTGTGGACATGATGAAAAGAGCAATCAATAATAAGCAATTTGCTGAAATAGATCATGCAATAAAGACTAAGGTAATCCTTGTCAATGAAATGAAAATTGAAATTTCAACCTTCTAGCGCTTCCTCTTTGCAGGTTGAGCCATTTTTATACAATAAAGGTCGTGGACGGTACATTCCAATCGCACAAATAGTTAAGTTGAGAAATTGTGAACGCCCAAGACATAAGCAACTGCCAGAAATACGAATTTTAGAGAATCCAGAAGAGGATTATGATATTGAAGCTGACTGTCCTGAAGTATGTCATTTTATAATTGAAGAAATAACAAAAAAAATCCATAAACTTAATTTTTTTTTTGGTTTAGGTGAGCGAAGGAGACTTTTTAATTAATCCATTAGGATATAGAGAAGTTGTGTGGGATTTAAAGGTTTGAACAAATTCTCTTTCCCTTTTCATTATAACCTTGTTACTATTTTTTCATTCAAAATCGATTTTCATTTTTTTAAATCACATTTTCCTTTTTGGGGCTTTTTATTCATTACGGAACTATTTTAAGGGGAGGGGGGAGATGAAATTTTGTGGCAGTTCAAACAAAAGACATCCTTTCAATTGACAATTTAAGGAAAGGGGCTCTAAAAACACAATTTTTTTGCGTTACGTAATAAGCGAACGACCCCTTCCCCCTTCACAAATAACAATAAACATACAACAACTATTGAAATGAATATGAACAGAAAATTATGATTTTTAATGGCTCTTCGCACAATAAAATTATTTGGTTTTTATTGATTCTAGGAACGAGGTGCTGTAGGAGAAACAATTCTTCATTTATGTTTCCTTAATGCAACATCTCTTCATGCTGATTTAGCAAAACGCTTATTAAGATTTTATCCTAATTTAATTAACGATGTGTACATGTCTGATGAATATTATGGAGAGAGTGTATTGCATATTGCAATTGTCAATGAAGATCCAGCTGCTGTAAAATTCCTTTTAGACAGTGGAGCAGATATTCATGAGCGATGTTATGGTACTTTTATGTCACCTGAGGATCAAAAGGGAACACGGTACGATGTTATAGAACATGAAGCTGTCTGTGTGAATCCTTTCACTAATTATGAAGGTAAATGTCTAGAGAAATGCTTGTGACATGAATATCCTCAATTTCAATTTTACTACAAAATCCTTTCAGGCTATGTCTACTGGGGTGAATATCCACTAAGCTTTGCAGCATGTCTCAGTCAAGAAGAATGTTATCGATTGGTACTAGCCAAGAAAGCAGATCCTGATAATCAAGATATTAATGGCAATACAGTCCTCCACTTGCTTGTTATTCATGAGAAATTAAGCACATTCGATATGGCTTATGAAACTGGTTCTGATTTGTACATTAAAAATAATTTAAATTTGACTCCGTTGACGCTTGCCGCAAAATTGGCAAGAGTCGAAATGTTCTTCCATATACTTAACATTGATCGTGAAATTTACTGGCAGTTGGGATCGATTACTTGTGCTGCCTATCCACTTGAGCAACTTGACACAATTGATACGAAAACCGGAAATATTAATAAGGATTCGGCTTTAAATCTTGTCGTGTTTGGGGTAGGTCATAGCACTTTATTTAATGAACTTGAACATTCACTTATTTTATTATTTTTCATAGGATAAAGACGAGCATTTAGATCTTCTCGAAGGCGTTCTGATTGATTTATTGAAAACTAAGTGGAACTCATTCGTCAAAGCTAAATTTTATCGCCAATTCTATTTCTTTAGTGTTTACTTTTTCATTTCACTTTTCGCATTTTTACTACGACCGAGAGCTATCGGAGACGGTGATGATGAATCACCAGTCAATCGAAATAGTACACAAACAGATATGAATGCAAACGATACAACAAGTTCACCTGTTAAGGCTCTTTTCGCGCACAATTTGACGGAAATTCTTTGCACATACTCAACATATTCGGAAAATGTCATGCAAACGGAAATAAGCATGGTTAATTCGTCGATTATAGATGTTAATTCAACGTTGCCAATTAATGATGGAGATGAATGGACGTCATTTTCTGAATGCCCATTACTTGATATAAGCACGCTTGAGAATCGGGTAAGTGATACTTAAAGATTGCAGGAGGTTCTGGCTACACTCCTGACTAATTGTATTTATCATTAACGGCGCAATTCCCACTTGAAACTTTATTAATTAATTCAGTTAATCGCATCAAGTAATCTACAAAGTAATAATGACATGATTAATATCTTTCAGATAAAACTTAGCGCAGAAGCTCTCATGGTATTAGGTGCCTTAATGTACATCTTATCAGCTTTACGTGAAGCTCGCTTTCTTGGCGCAAAAATGTTTTTTGAAAATCTAGTAATGCGATTATTATTTTTTTTTTAAAAAAAATTTAAACTTGATGAACCCTCTTCTTTTTTCACTTGTTTTAGAGCACGGCTCCATCGCGTGTACTATTTTTATTCTCATGTTGGTTAATGCTGACAATACCACTTGTGAAATTTTTATGCCTACCCGAGCTAGAGGATCATATTGCTGTTGCAATTATGTTGACGACAGCTCCTTATTTCTTATTCTTCTGCAGGTTTGAAACTATTCTAATTAATTTATGAAATATAAATTCAAACTTCTTATTATAATTACAGGGGATTTAAGACAGTTGGACCTTTCGTTGTCATGATATATCGTATGGTCGTGGGAGATCTTTTGCGTTTTGTTACTATTTATATGGTTTTTATTATGGGATTTTCGCAAGCATATTACATCGTCTTCCTAACATTTGATAACTCTGAAGAAGAAGAACCAGAACCTGAACTTAATCCAATCTCATCGCCAATGGAAAGCTTCATATCAATGTTTCTTATGTCACTTGGAAATTTTGGTGATTATTATGGTGGAATGGAATATACAGCACATGAAATGCAGGCAAAGGTGATGGCATGCAATAAAATAACAAATTAATTTACTGCTCATCATAAAATATATCAACAATGTCTCTTATCAATGTTTATCATCCATTTTTTTTCTAGACTCTCTTTGTGCTGTTCATGGCAATAGTAGGCGTGCTTCTAATCAACATGTTGATCGCTATGATGGGTAACACATATACAAAAATTGCAGAAACTAAGAATGAATGGCAACGTCAATGGGCTAGAATTGTTCTTGTCGTTGAAAGAAGTGTGCCTCCTCACGATCGACTTAAGAATTTCAACCACTACAGTCAACTTATGGCGGATGGAAGGCCTGCATTGATTTTACGTTTGAATATGACAGTATGTAGTATTTTTTTATTGCATTTTCTCATGAGAGGTGTGAGCTGTATTAATATTCATTTTTTCACTGGGTGACTAGTCACTTAAACATTCATTGAATTGTTTATCTAAGAGGCAACATGTCTAATGGAGGGAAAAAAGTTTTAGCACCTGAACAATCATTAAAAGTTTTTTATAATTAACAGAAACACGCATTCTAATGTGTCTATATATCTATTCCATAGGATGACGAGAAGGCAGAGATGAAAGAAATTTTAGATATGAAGCGTGTTCATGACAAACTCTCAAATAAACGCAAAACAGAGCGTGAAGCTCGTTTTCAAAAACTTGAAATGGACCATCAGCGTGGTCTCGAATTGAAAGCAAAGGAGCGGAGATATGCAAATGCATAGGAATAAATTTTAACGAATAAAAAAAAAATATATTTCAACATTATCCAGTTATATAGATTTATAAAGCAAAAAATAATATCATTGAAATAAAAACAACGATTACAACAAAAAAGAAAACTGTTTTAAGTTCAGGGTCACAAAATCTGCATTGTGCATGTGCAAGTTATATTGATTTTAAAGCGAGGAAGGAAGGATGAAAATTTGAGCAAATTATTTATGTCTGTAAAAATTTAAATCAATCCGGAATGTGAATGAATGCAACATTATCAAAATGTGAACCTTGAACCTTTCTTTGCGTTTCTACTGAGGAACTACATGCTATACAATGTATTCTACCTGATAAGCGATGAGTGTACTCATTCGGTTGTGTTAAATGGGAAATTACATTTTACTTCTATCTTTTAAGTCAAGATGAATAATAATTTTATAAAGTTGCTTTTATTTGCACATCTATTAATAGCCATCAAGAGAAAAAGCGACACACTTGAATCTCTATTCGATCTAAATACTTAATTAGTTTATTTACTTTTATTTGAAAGAGAAGACACGACAAAAACTGTGTCTTATTACTCTTTAATGGAGACTTTAAAATGTCTTGTGGAAATTCCATGGTGAAATATCACAGGCTTGAGTATTTTGTGTGTTTAAAATTAAATTTTACTGTCAAACTGTTTTTCAAGTCAGTGATGCAAATTTCAATAATCTTTTTAATCTCATTCTGGTGCAAAGCGCTTTCAACCAGTTCCAGAATATTTATTTGTCAATAAAAATCAGGCAAAATAACAATAACTTTAATTCTCGCGAATTTTTTTTAGAAATATCATGTTGATGACCTTTCAAGAACGAATAGAACCATTGAAAAACTAAGGAACAACATTTCTTACGCGTTGATAGTAAAATACAGTCAATGGTACGATAAAACTAAGGCAGTACTCACATATCTAAGCAAAAGAAAGTATAGATAAGAATAATACTGTCTACAATCTGTCTAAGTAACGCCTTAAACTGATTATTTCTGATTATGATAAAATTACTGATAACAATATTCATTTAATTATAGGAAAATCCAGACTTGGCAATTTAATTTCCATAAATGGCTTAAAAATGTCGTATTACAGTTTAATAATTAGACTAGCTTCAGGGGAAGTTTAAAATTTATGGAAAATTTAAAAATTGATTGCTTTTGATTGTTTCTGAAATTCCCATTAAGAATTGTTGTATTCAGTTTGTGAATAGGTCTAGCATTGGCAAAAATTTACTTACATATTTATTAGACAAAATAAAGGCACGATTTTAAAGCTAGATACAAACTATATGGTTAATATTCCTAGCGAGACTAACTAGCAAATTGCTAGTCTTTCTATTCTACTCCTTGCAATTTACTAGTTATTATTAAAACAACTTACTATTAGTAAATTGCACTTGTTATTTAATAGCAAATTACTAGCAAATTACCATGTGAAATGTTTGATCAAATCTGCTTAAGTTCGAATCTTACGAAAAATCATCAAAAAAAGAATATTCTGCGTCAAATTTTTTTTCTTTCTAAATTTGGCATTTGCCATATACTTCACAAGAGTGCGCAGAAATCACGTTTACAAGGTCGATCCAAATTTGTATGTGACTTTCAATTAATTATTTATCTTCCTCAGGTTTGCGTGCGAGTCATGGGCGTTCATCAGTGTTCGACTTAATTAAATTAAGTCTTTTATTTTTTACATAGTGTTAGTGTACTTTAATTAACTTTAACTAGGTACACACTAATACTTTTGCAATAATTTACACAAATAAGAAAAATCAAAAGAACACGTGGAAATCAACGGTTATATTCATTTAAATATTTTACAAATTTGCTAGTAAATTACTAGTCAATTAGCAAGTGAGAATTCGGGTCTTTGGCGAAGATTTGAACTTGGATTTTGACTAGTAAATAGCAAGTAGCAAATGGAAAGTTAACCAGTAAATTACTTGTAAATTTCTGCTAGGGTATATACAGTAAGATCTTTAATAAATATTATCAGGAATGGTAAATTCAAAAAATTCACAAATTTGTGTGCTAATTGAGCTCCCGAAACTGATACATTAAAGTGATCTCCTCAGTAATACTCAAAATAAACAGTTATTACATCATACTTGTTTGTCAACACCCATAAATAATCTACATGTGTGCCAATAAATTCTTAGGAAATTAACACAGCACATCCGAAAATAAATTTATCTAAAACCGAGAGTTTCATGCTAATTTCACTATCTATCGTCAAGTGCACAACACATCTACATCTACATCTAAAACTAGACGTTTTCATCATCATCATCATCACCCACTAATACACTATTTTTACAACGATCCAGCCTCTAAAAATTGTTTCTTCTGTTCGAGCGCCGTTTGGCACTCGATCGTTATTAAAAAACGATAATAGTGTATGTATGAGATTTTTTTTTTCATCTTGAATCACAGCTGATTGTTGCAAAAATAAGAAAACTTTATACGTATGTATACTCTATGTAGGTATTAATGAGATAGAAATGCGAATGAAAAAGTAAAATAACTGAAAGTAGTGTAGAAAAAAAAACTTACAATTAGCTATTTACAAATTCTGAATGACGTCATAGTTGTCGTACGTTGAGAGCATAAGACACGAAAATAAACATGTAATCAACAAAAGTTCTTTGTTAGACGAATCAATTCAGGAATCAAGAATGATAATAAGGAAGAGAGAGAGTGAGAGCATGAAGAACGTTCATGATCGAAAATTTAAAGTAAACATGTTGCCGTAGTTTAAAATAATCTTTAACGATAACTTTTTCACATTCTTATCTATTTTTTAGTAGGCAATAAGTAGGAGTTGAAAATTTTCGTTAAATTGCATATCGTGTTATATTATAGATCTCATATTAATGCTTATTACTATTTTTATGAGCCACTTATATTCCTCGAAAAAAAAAAATAAACATTGAATCAAATGACAGAGTTCATAATTTATTTGTAAAATTTAATGGAATCGCATTGTATCGACGATGGCGGCACAAATATTATTTTTTCTTCCCCCAATATTCATTTCTAATAAAGAAGCGATAAGGTTTGTCTATATTAATGTTTTACAAATATGTAGAGATAAGGTTTAAATGTTAATACCTCGACATTTTCGCACAAAAGTTAATCTTACTTTAAAGTGATAGGAGAATTGTATTGTTTGATTATAGGAAGTCGAACCGGTTTCATGAAATGATTACTCTTAGACCCCAACCAACCATCAACCTAGACAGTTATTATGAAATTTATTTTCTTTATTTTTGGATGGACATACATGCAGAGCGAATCAAATGACAGAGACACGCAGAGAGAAGGGAACCTTGAAAATGTTGTTTTTTTTCTGTATCATTACTTTAAAGCACATGTTAGTTGACGTCATGACTTAATAGTGTACACGATTCTGGATCGCTTTATTATTAAGTGATTTATTTATCTTGTTTGTCCGCAAACACATATGTAAACAACAACTTTTTTGGTATTTCCACTTATGAGAAATTCGGATCATTTAAAATAAAATGAACAGCATAGAGCAGATAGGAACTCGAGTGAATTATAAGTTATCAATTTTTGTGTGCAAATGAACAAACAGAAAATGAAAATAAATGAAATAAAAACAATAATAAACTATTGGATCTGTACACAAATCGAGGAACAAACTTTAAAGAGGAACGAGATATTAAGACCTACATGAACCTTCATGTGATGATAATATTGAAATACTTTTTTTCATGATTTCTTTTTTTGCTTGGAATTTTTTGATTTCTATTTTTAAATAATTTTTTTTTTCGTATTAAAAATACTGTAAAGTGAGAGGAGAAATGTCCAGTATAAAAAATACATGTATGTGGAAGAAGAAGGAGTAAAGAAATTTAAATTGATAAAGGAACTGTAACTTACTTGTAGGTGACATTAAGTGTATTGAAGACTTGGCTTAAATCTGAGTCTATTTCATAATGCTTCTCTTGTGCCTGTGGTCTGTAACGCTCTAATTGAGTACACACGTTTGTCGATGGACCCGGAAGAACTTTAGTATTAGACGATTCTGAGATATCGTCACATTCATCATCATCATCGGCTGGATAGTCTTGATATTCATCCTCAGCTTCTTCCTCCTGCTCAAAGTGGCTCACCATAAATTGTCCACTATGAATATGTTCACAATTTTTCTTTGATTCTACTTTTACAGACATTGTTTGGGTCATTCTCATTTTATTCTCTATTTTATATATTTTTAAAATCACTTTTTCTTAACTTTTTTTCCTTTACTCTTTCTCTTGTAACAAAAATAATACACTTTTGCTTTTATATGCCCTTTATTTCCTCTTTGAATTTTTCCACTTCACTATCTGGATATTCATCTATTCATTATCAACTATTTTAAATTAATTTGTTCTCGTTTGCTTACTTAATTTTATCACAATTTTTTTCAACACACAACTTCTACGCTTATTATTAAAATATTTTTAAAGACTATCTCAGTAATCGAGTCATTTACATCACCATTCTGGATTGTTCTTTTTTGCACGGATCCTCTTTTTACAACTTTTTATAATATTCACAAGCGTTAAAATTATTAAAAATTGATTTTTTGAATTAATGCATAAACTTAATATTATTTTTATACCATTCTATTTTACGTTCTGTAGTATGTTAACTGGATAGCAACAAAGTCTTGTTATTGAAATGAAATTTTTTTTGATCACTTCTATTATAGAATCGAGTAAAATCTAATAAATGATATTCTTCTCAGTTGCTCAAAAAATTTCATTGAGCAAATGAGCTTGAAGTTTGCACACGATAGAATGGTGATATGAGGAATTGAAAATGAAAATGATTGTAAAAGTACAACTTTGTTATAATTTGTCAAAACACTTTATTTTTTTATTTTCTTCAATTGTTTTTTATGACTTTTTATCAAAACCTGCTATGATAAAAACATACATTATAACCAATATGATTGTAATACCAATTATGTCTGAAAAATTAAATGTTATTACCTGTAAAAGTTGTTTTAATTTTATTAATTCTTACCAACATCTTCTTTTGTCAAAGGTCCGAATTAAAATGATGATAAACCAAGAAATTACTTCCTATAAAATCGTTTTGATTCAAATTTGAATTTTAAAAATACGTTAAGAGACACATTTTTCCAATACAAGTCCAGGTAACAATTTTTAAATGACAAATTATACTCTCTGTACATCCTTAAAATTATTCGATTATTATTAAATCACTTAAATATATTTATACCTCTCTATTTGAAGTCTCCTCTCAACTTGACACACACCAACGTGAGTTTTTATTTACGATTTCTTCTCTCAAGTTCTCAAACAAATTTCATTAATTATGGAAGTAGATAACGATGAATACTTCAAAAGTTATGAAGATTTGGACATCCACGAGTTGATGCTTAAGGATAAACCAAGAAATGAAGCGTATAGGAATGCTATCATGTCAAATAAGAAGGTTTTTGAGGTAAGGTATCTTTTGGATGTAAATATTAAATTGATCTGCCACAGTCAAATTATTTTTATAGAATAGTTATGTGCTAGATGTTGGATCTGGAACAGGAATCTTGTCAATTTTTGCAGCACAAGCTGGAGCCAAGAAGGTATTTGTAGGGTTTGGGGAACCTGTTAACAGAAAACAGAAAAACAGCTGTTTTTCGACAAAAATCTGTTAACAGAAAACAGGTCTCAAAAACAGATCTGTTTTCTGTTTTTCATTTTTACGTATAATTTACAGAAAAAAAAATTTCTTAATTTTTTGAAGAACTTAATATATTTTTCTAGCATTCCAAATTGAAATGTTTTAACTATTTTAATATTTTTTGAATGTTTAATAGGTTTGAAATCATTATCAAATTTATGGTTAATCATTATTAATTTTGCAATCTAAATTTTAAATTTGTTGAACCTTTTGTAGCATTTACTAAAGTTCAAAAATATAATCAACAATTTTACAAGATATTTTTTTATTCAGAAAGATTTTTTTAAAATATTTCAAATAAAATATTAGAGTTTATGGAACTTCTGCAATGCAACAATACAATGTTTCTTAAAAGTATAAATATCTTTTTTTGAATTTTTATATTTCATTATATTTTATAAAGTTAATTAACGAAAAATTAAGAAATAATAATGCTTAGCTCTAAAATGTATGCTTACTGCTTATAACCACCAAAAAGTTTCATTATCTTAGAGAAACACTTAGGATAACTCAGTTTATTTTGAATTCTAGAAAAACTGGAAAACAGCTGTTTTTAAAAATCAAAAACCGAAAACCGACTGTTTTTCAAAAACAGCTGTTTTCCACAAACCCTAGGTATTTGCTGTAGAAGCATCAAAATTGGCAGATTTATCAAGAGAAATTGTAAAGGAGAATAATTTTGAAGACGTGATTGAAGTTGTAAACTGCAAAATTGAAGATTTCAAACTTCCAGAAACAATTGACAAAGTTGACATCATTATATCTGAATGGATGGGATTTTATTTACTTCATGAAAGTATGCTGGACTCAGTTTTGCTTGCTCGAGAGCGATTTTTAAGGCCAGGTGGATTAATGTTTCCGGATAAAGCGATAATTTACATATCACCATGTAAGCTACCATCATTATTCGATGACTGGGAGAACGTTAGTGGCATTAAAATGACAAAATTTGCAAAACAATTGAGAGCTCAAAAGTCAAGCAAGCCAGAAATACAGACAATCAAAAATGATGATTTACTTTCTGAGGATACAGTAATGGCCTTTCTAGATCTTAATGATGTATCATCAAGTGAATTAGATTTATTTGAGTTCAATGAAGTTCTTGTAGCTAAAAATTCAGGAAACTTCCAAGGCATGTGTATCTGGTTTGATGTCTTATTTCCATCTAATGACCATGAAGTAATTTTATCGACACATCCAAAAGATGAACCGACTCACTGGAAACAAACAATCATACCTCTTCCATCTAATATTGAATTTCTTGAGGAATCATATCCAATTGCATTTAAATTAATAATCCAGAGAAATCCAGAGCACTTTAGACGTTACAACATTTTATTGGAGATTTTAGATCCTGAAAGTGAAGATGTTCAGCATCCCTTACCATGTGACTGTAATTTAACAAAATGTATCCTTACAAAGGCACATTTAGCTAGTCTAGCTAATCAAAATAACTTTGAAAATGCATAATAAAGCCTTTATATTGTCACAATTATATTCTTTATTATTTTTCTGATTGTCAGTTTGATACAAAAAATTAAAATAATTAACATTAATTATTGATTAGTTTCTTTCACATATTTAATTTTATGCGTTATTGATGAGTTCTGCTTTTTTTCTTTATTGAATATCATTTTAAAAAGTATAGAGTTGTTAGTATAAATTCTTTTTCTTTTAAAACCTGCACCTTGCCAATTTTTCTTCAAATTTTATTTTTATGAGAAATGAAAAAAATCTATTAAAAATATAATTTTCAAGCAAAATGTTCATTCATTTTCAAAAAAAAAGAAATGATGGATAATAATAATAAAAATATTTGAATCAACAAAACCACATCGGTGTGTATAAAAAAGGAGCGAAATCATCATCAAATTAACGCGTCAGATAGATCAAATCTTTAATACATCTTCTACATCACAATTTAATGAATAGTAACTCAAATTCAAACAAAAAAAGTAGAGAATAATAAATTAACAAAAAACAGAGAGAAAAACATCTGATTCTTCCTAAAAATATACAACTGTTGCTTGATGATTTCTTGAGCGAGCCAAAAATCAATTAAAGACGACATTAAGATTAAAAAAAATTTCTTCTATTGTTTATAAAAAAACACAATTAGCTTCTAAATTTCATCCTTGAAGCGACGATATATCGATTGTACGTAGCAGAAAACACACTTCCAGTCAGGCTTTTTGTACATTACCATATCGTCGACGTCAAGTAATGGAGCGATTCCTGCTTTTTCACTGAAAAGATAAAATTTTATATTAATAATAATAGCAGACGTAGCTTGTGTATGACTTACTCTGCAACACGGAATGCTAGTGTGAAATTATGTCGTCTCTCCTTCGGTGTTAATTTACTATAATCAAATGCATCGGGTAAAAAGTGATGTATGAGAGCGGCAAATGCTGTAATTGCAATAAATTTCATTAAGTACATCTCATTCAATCATATGGTGTCATTTTTTGTGCATACCTAATCCATCTGACCATGATGCTGAGAAATTTTGTATGTTGACGTTCTATAAAAATAATTGAAAAACAGGAAGACTTTAATATTTTGTCAGATCGTATGAATTGCATGTTTAAATCATCTTCATTTAGAGCAGTGATGTCTGAGGGGTTGCCTATAAATGACGTCAACTATTGAATTTTAAGAGTTTTTTGACAACATTTTTTAAAAATCTTGAACGTAATTTGTGTATGAACCCTTAATTTTTGGCACACATTGGAATCGTTTTGCTATTGCCAATATATCCATAGACAGACAGATGAAGTTCACCATCGAAAATGATTTAGTCACTTATGTCAAAACAGAAATTTGTGATCGATGGTAAACGATTTATTTTTTCTTGAGAACGACCTTCATCTTCCTTCTATGACTTGTTGATCAAACGTTTCTAAACCTTTAAATCGATATTTTTCCTTCGGTTCCATAACGAATTATTAATTCTAGACTTCCAATTATTTTTGCTGTCACCATTCTCTAGACATTACTGCTTTAAATGCTTTCAACAAAATCAAATTTAATTAGCTGTATATTATGTATTATGCAGATCTCTCAAATTAATGATTTTAGCACATTATAACAATTCTCATTCCTTAGTAGTGTAAGTAGGTCTTCAATTTATTGATGTTAGTGAAATTAAACAAATTAGCGGTCGATTATCAATGATTTTTCATTGATTTTTGTTTATATTCGATCGTCAATAACGAACTTTTATTGCTGCATCGTGAAATACATTTCAATTCAATATTCAGACTTGCTATAAAACTTAACGGTTTTGTAAAATTCATAATTTCTAATTCAGCTGACGAAAAATTCAAAATCAGTAAAACCGTTACAAATTTATTACCATCATGCATAATCATGAAGCGTGCGAAGAAATTTATGTCTAATTCCTTAATCACTTTTGACAAAAATATGAAAGATAATTTATATTGATGTAATATGACATGACGTTGGAAATGTATAACAAATGTTAAAAGAACGACTTGTTTCCTTTCTTATAAATTTAATAGCAAAAAGAGAAACGAGTGTAAAAATTCGTCGAATCCCACATTTTCATAATCACATTCAATATATAAAAGAGGAACATAAAAAAAAACATTGTGAGATGTGAAAATTATACGTGGAAACTCCACTTGATGCGAAAGAGAGAGAAGAAAACACGAATAAGCAGTAGTATTTTCCGTACTACAAAAATAGCGTCAGTTTAAGTTAGCAGGAAAAAAAATATTTCATGCATAGTCCATACACCATTTAAAAATAAAATAATGGGAAAAGCCAGGCAGAGAGAGAGAGAGAATAAGAAAATGGCTTTTAATTCCTCTTAAATATCTGCGTTGACAGTCATTTATCAATTTTTTCTACGACTCAAATAATGTGCGGGAAGTAAGGAAGAGAGAATAATACAAATTGTTGGATTATATATAAATACATCTCATGAATGAATTAATTACAAGCTAATAAAATGAAAATCACAGCAAAAATAAATATGTCCACAGCACACACAAAAAAAAACACAACAAGAAAGCATGTATCGTCTACCTCATATTCTTTCGTCTTCATCTGTGCCCATGTCAATAACTGTTCTTTAACTGTGGATGCTTTTTTGGCGAGTGTTGGATCAGTAAAGGAGAAAATTGGACCATTTTTAGATCCTCCGGGTGTTGTTGGTGTTGATGGCGTTCTGGGCGATGGTGAGCTGTAACAGATGTGTTTGTTTTTCTTAATGTCTGTTTGTTTTTTTTTTCTTTCACATTCATCCTTCCGCACTCATTCAAATTAATTAATTTGAGATGGATACTAATATTCTGATGGGGGTTAATTGTGTGAATTGTTATTTTTGGGATAGGATTGACCTTAGCTATGTCCTTTGAACTAGTTAAGTATGAAACTTTAGGTTTTAAACTATCAAATGATCAATAACATCAAATTTGAAGATTCTAAGATTCAGGCCTTTCAAAGTAAACTTTACAGCGTAGAAACATTTGTGGAATAATGAATAAATACTTAAGGAATGTTGTAGAACATCATTCGATTTTCTTTTGAAAAAGAAATTTCATCGGAAAAAGAAATTTGCAATAAATTTAATCAGAAATTTTCAGCGCAAGATAAAAATCCACCTCATGCGTACAAAAATGAATTTAATCGAGAAATTTAATGCTTATTAGTCACAGATAAGTAAAATTAATAAGAAGGAGGTTATTTATTTATTTATTAGCATCTCAGCTGTTAAATGATTTAATCTAATTTGCTTGCGAAATTGAATGCCAAATTAATCTAATTTATATTATTTCACTTTCACATTCGAAATTTTCTATTTTCTCCTCATTTGATTGCACTTATTATATCACACCTGACCATATCCATCAATCTTTATTGATATCATCACAGAAACTCTTATGCTTCTATTTTTATACTCACTTGGGAAGGGAATTTTGACGATCTAATTGACGGAATTTATCGAATGGTGAAACTTTCTTTTGTGGTTGCATTGTTGATTTTGTGATAACTGGAGTGGATGATAAGTAATAATAATTCAAGATATTAGATAATTAAATTATTTATTCACTTGATGTCGACCCTCACCTTCTGTGGTTGTCGTTTTAATAATTCGATCTCCCTGCTGTTGCACTTCTGAACTGGTCTTTGTCATAGCTTCTGTGAAAATAAAAGAGAATTGTGGAAATGAAAGATTTTTCGTTTCGTTGTCGAAATTTATAAAGAAAAAAAAATCGTCTTTTTCTTCTCTTATACGTAAAAAAAAATCTCATCTATAATAAACTTCTCACAAATATAAACGCAACGAAAAAAATTGTGTGTAAAGCCAAGCAAAAAACGAATTAAATTCACACGATGAAAAGCGATTGCGGGTCTTGTTTGATGATAGTGTGATTTGTTATTGTATAAGTTTTACGATACTTTATCAAAAAAATATAATCATGTATGAATCAGATTGTTTATGCCAATTGCTAGTTTATGATAACAAAAAAGAACCTAGTTATAAAGAAATTAATCGAGTAAACTAGATGACTTCATGGAGCTATAAATTTGACATTGCAAGCAAAACATCCCCAGAACACACAAATACGATGGTGATCAGTTGGCGATCACAAAGAAACAATAATTAATTTTCTTTTTATCTTTATGTGAAAATTTTCCTTTTTTCTATATTTGTTCCTTTAAAGTTTGAAACTCATCTTCTTAATTCATTCCTACTAATAATAATAATAATTTTCTTTTGTTTATTTTCATCAGGAAAAGGCAGCGATTTTTCATTTCATTTTTCTCATTACACATAATGTAATTGCTCCCACACAAGTCAAGGCATCGAAATGTCTTTAAGCACGTTTTTGTGAAAAAAAAAAATATGTGAACTTTGAGTTTAAATATGAAAATAAGAAGTTTTGGAAAACTCTTTTCTATTGCGAATGACTTTTGCCATTCCAAGGATGATTTATTGCCGAGGAATTTGTTTCAAATCGCTGGATTTGTTTGTTTAATTTAAGAAAAACTTTTCGAAATGGGAGAATTTTTTTAAAATAATTTTCAGAAAGAATATTTCTTTGACAATTTAAAATCAAAAAGTACGTTTAATTTTAAAGCGTTTAAAACTCACAAAATAGATTGCAGTTTGAACTTGCAGCTAATTTTAAAATTTTCGTATGAAAATGACAATAAGGAAAATTTCTCTTGGAAAAATAAGAAAATTATGTACGAAACAAAGTATATATCGGTTTCTGACCTAAAAACAGACATGATAATAAGAAGAACGTACACACATTGATCGAAACAAAATAAATGAAGCAGGAAGAACAGCTCAAAGGCTTATATGCAATACATGCGAAGAAAGAAAACAAAACGAAAATATTATCGCATCTCATCAACCTTCATAGAACTACATAGTGTGTACTACTGGATGTAAAACAACAGCGGTCATTTTTTTTTAATGACGTAAATATAGTTTTTCGTTTGAACAGTCAATATGGTTTATTCTTTTCGTCGAATTTGAAACAGACGGAAAAATTGAAAATGCAGACACGAAGGCAGATGTAATATTGTTCTTTTATTATTATATGTGTGATGATGAGAATAGAGGAACGAGAAGAAAAACTTTTTTTTTTTGGTGTCGAGCCAATATTTCTTCCACTAAAATTTTTTCATCTTTTTCAAAAATCATCGTTCGTTCACATGGGAAATTTAGATGCAATAGTGTGTAGTAAAAGAAATTAAGTGCGTATTTATATTTTGATATTTTTGCACCAGAACATATGAGGAAAATATAAACAATGAGCCTCTTGAGTCTCTAAAATTTCAATTGAGGCGGGAAACATCAATTTCATCATGTTCATTAAAGTTTGTCTTCGTATCAAGCTATAATTAATTGACTGCCTTTATTAACGCGTATGTTTTATATTTTGGTATTTTTAAATTGCTTTGTGTATAATGTAAATGACGATGACATCTTATGAGTGACAATTATTGAGTCGATGAAAGGCTTAGACGATATTTGATAAGTGCTGTTGATAAATTACTGTAAAATTATCTTTATTACGCATTTTTTGAGAACATTCTGAAGAGATATCTGCTGAATCTTTTGTATTTGTTTTTTTTTTTTTGGGAAGTATTAGAGCTTTAATTTAGATTCATGAAGATTTCTTCATTTCTAAGCAGATCATCAAGATGATTCGGATGTTGTATGAAGTTGAGTCGAATCCGAATTGAATTTTCTTTAAAAAATTCAAGTTCAGGTTCTTAGTAATCATGCATTTCAGTGACTCCCTGTTTTTTCAATCAGATTCTAAACTTCAATCTATTATTAGAACCAAAGCATCTAAGCTTTTATTCGTCTTAATTATGCCACCCATAAATGAGTAAAGAGTTAATTTATGATGTATCATAAATGAGTAATAAATATTATTTCATTGTGTACATCCAATAAAGGAACAAAAAAGAATTAAATAAAGGAAAGGAAAAGACACAAAGGCAGACATAAAAGCGTATTAATGACAAGCGACATCGACACAAAAACAAGAAAAACGTGGAAAATTTGTTTTGTAGAATATAATGAGGGAATGGGACATTGTTTGGTCTGGTTGTGTATAATTTTAAGTTTGTATAGAGTCTTCAAATGTGCGTCATAATATTTCCAATTGCTCATAATTTTTGAATAGAGGAAAATTTCTTAATGATTTGTGTTGACTATAAATTTCATATGCTATTAATAAATCACACAACACATTAATTAATAAGTCATAAACAACATCTTGATAATGTACAAACATTAAAATTTTAAATCACATGCGAATAAAATGTTCTCAAGTAGAGGAAGGAACAACAACGTATATAGTAAAAATTGGTTAGGGAAATCCACAACAACAACAAAAACAAAAATAAAAGCTTGTCAGACACGCTCAACAAAAAATTTTCTTCTTGATGCAAACTCACAATATGATCAAGTCAGTTGACTTGCATGAAATTCGTTCGATTAATTGATAGTTTCCTGAACTGCAAATTTCTCGGGATTCAAAGTCGTTTCCACTTGAGATACCTTTGTATTACATTTCTTCCATAGTATTATTGATATTTCAATATTTTCATTGTATCCAAAAGCTCTTCAGAGAGTTTAAAATAAATTGAAGTAAACCAGACAAGGATTCATGTCCCGTAAATAGTAGATTATTTGTTAAAAAGAGTAGATTTCGTTACATTGAAACTTTTAAACATTTGTCAGGAAGCTCCATAAATATAAATAATTGATTGTAGCATATGATAGAAGTATTAGTAGATCATGCGGCTGTTATAAACATTATTTTTCACGTCGATATAAAAAGAATTTGTAATAAAATGTTTCTGACGAATAAATCCAAAGCATGAATTGCAAATATAGAAAAAGTTATAAGATCGGAATGTTTCATCACGTTGTGTCCATCGTCTTCACAGTCAGCAAAAAATTTCATATTTTTTTTTCCATTTAAACAATTAGATTCCAATTTTAAGGAACCTGACAAATCCATAAATCCAAACGATTACTACATTCATAAATTCGATGAGGTCAAAAGCTCCTCAAATGCATCATCAATATTGCTTTCATCTAAAAGCTCTACCTTTGCCAAACTTGGCATGGTCTTGCTTCTTGCCAACAAATTCATTGTCTTGTGTGTCTCTTTAGATACTATTTTAGTTGTTGTGCTCATCATTGGCTTAACTTGTAATGAAATCTTTCGAGTTGCAGGTTGTGACTGCTTTGGACCAACTGAAAATGTAATTGGTTTAATTTTCAGACTCTCTGTACGCGATGGAATTAAATAAGAAGAGACTGTCTTCTGTTTTGCATCAATGAGATGTTGAGGAACGCCATACATTCCAGGTGGTGTGATTGATCGTTCAATTGGAGGCTTTAAAGGAACTGACAATGAATGCGTTGGTTGACCCTTATTTGCTACATTATTGTACAAAATGTGTGACTGTGGGGGATCTGTTGATGGCGATTTGACCTGAATTCGGGGTGGTGATTTGTATACAATACTATATGCTGTTTCTGGCACAGCTGCTATCGGTATTTTAAGTGGAGGTAGCTTCAAATCAATTGATGAATTTGATGAATCTTGAGATAGTCTCGAATTTGATTCATTGTGCGTATCATGAACAGCTGGCGTTTTAAGTATTTTAAAATCTATTGATGAATTCGATGAGTCTTGCGAGAGACGTTTCATTCCATCACTCTGCTTTTTTTCAGGCGTTGGACTTTTCTGTTGTAACTTCTTAAGTGAATCGTGCAAACTTTGAATCATAACATTTTCCTTCTTTTGACCACCGAGCGATGTCAATTCAGAGCTTTGTGTGTATGCAGTTTGGGCAATTGGTGCTTTCATAACTTTACTAACAGCCGCTTGACATTCAATTGAGTCTCCCAAATCATCAAGTTCATGCTCAAGATCATCACAAATTGATCCAATTGAATGATCATTAGATATTTGTGGCGATGTTGGAATTGGAGATGCCCCGAGAAATTCAACTGGTTTAAGAATCGGTTCTCCAGGACTAATCACAGTACGATCGCATGTTAAAACTAATGGTTCCTTACTTGGATTTGTCAACGAGTCTTGACGCTGTAAAGTTGGTTTAAAGATTGTTGGAATATCCTCGGACGGTGCGAATGTGGATACAAATGTAGGTTGTGAAAAGTCTGTAATCACAAATGTCGTCTCTTTTGGCATGATCAATGAAGTTGTATTCTTTGCTTCTCTATTAAGAGGATCAAATAAGTTATTATAATGAGCTATGTGTGCATTTGTTGGCAATGATGAACGTTTCTCAAAAGTTCCATTGTACAATGGATTGCTCCTGAATCTCACAGTTGGTTCTTCTTCTAATCGACTACCAAAGTGAACAGTTGGAACATTCTCAAATTTAGAAGCTGCAAGACTTAATACTTTATCTGATTTTGGTTGTCCTGACCATGGTGTGCCTTCAGTCTTTGGTTCTATAGGCTTGCTCACTTTTACAAATGTTGTATCAAATGTTGCAATTGACCTGGTTGGTGATGATGCAAGCTTCTTAGTTGGAGCTACTACAGTATCATTAATATTATATCCTGTTTCAGCCATTTGTTTAACAAGTCCATTTGTAATAGTTGGCATGGGTTTCTTGACGACTTCCTCTGTATTTTGAATGGGTTTGAAGTTATTTGAAAGTTTGCGTGATATTGGTGGCTTGAAAACTGACAATGGAGCATGTGAAAAATTATTAACAGTCGATGGTTTTAAAGCTGGAAGCTTATTTGGCTCAGGAATCGATTTAAATGTTTGTGCTGGTGGCTGTTCTTTTGGAACAAATTTATCAACCATTGGCTTCTTTTTAGCTATTATTGCTTCCTCAGATTTGATGGTTTTTGGTTCATTATTGACAGCATTTTTCCATGGGAACTTTTCTGTTGATACAGGCAAGTTCTTAATGTATGGTTGATTATTTTTTATAGGAACAGCAGGCAATGGTGATACTTTAGCACTTGGCTTATCCTTTTCAATATTTTTCCAAAAGTTGGCTGCAGCATTTGATGTCTTTTGAACTGTTGCTGGTGACTCAGTTCTAACATCCTCAAACTTAGTTTTGAGATTTCCAAATTTACTTGTCCAAGTCATCTGCTTAGGTTCATTGCGTGGTGCTGATGGATTAACGTAAGCAGGAATAACATTTGCATTTTGTTTTTGTATAAATGCCAAAAATTTCTTATCATTGTCAGTTTTAGGTGTGAATTTTGGAGGAATTGGTGCATTTCCAGCTGTAAAAGTTGTCTTCAAGCCAGCATTTGGTGTGCGATTCTGATATGTATTGTCAGATGTCTCATTATCAGAGGTATCTTTACGCATAAGGTCAAAAGTATTAACGAAGCTATAAGACTTTGGTATATCTACAGTATTTGCTCGTTTCATCTTCATCTTCTTACTTATATATTTTGGTTGACGTGAAGTGTTGCTCGTATCTCTGTTCTCATCACCAGAGCTATAATTCAACGATTTTTCTACTAATTGTTCCTGTATCTGTTGATTGCGCAAAAAGTTTTCTTTTGCTCTGAATTTTCCGTTTTGCGTATTTGCAAGATTTTTATTATTGTAATATTTTGTATTGATCATTTCATCATCATCCTCATCGTCACTTGACGAAGATTCATCAGTTTGTGCCTTATTTACAGTATTTATATGATTTATAAATTTGTTACTGCCGCTATTATTTGAACTTCCATTGCTTAAATTGCGATCAATTTTTGGTACAATTTCTTGCTTTAACATATTCTTCAAAATAGGAACTGGATGATCTAAGCTGACCGATTGCTTAAATAAAACTTTGTGTTTTCCTGGTCCATTAACTTGAGCTTCCTTTGGAACAAATTGTGAAGGTCTCAATAATGTTATTGGTTCTGAAATTTGTCTAGTCAGGATTCCATTATAAACTCCTGGTGCTGAATTCACAAAAGTAGCTGTGACTTTTGGCTCAGGCACTGTTTTAACATTTTTTACTTCAATAAATTTCAATTCTTCAATAATTCTTCTTGCATCTGCTAATTCCTCACGAGTAACGCCTACAGTATGTCGATTTGCACGATTTTTTCGTTTATTAAATCTGTGAACATTTCCACCTGACCCACGACGTACGTCATTACTTTCTCCATACTTTTCAGGGGACATTGGACTTGTTACGCTCACAGCAGAATCTGCTGATTCAATATTTGACTCAATTGCTTTATCATTTGAAATCAATCCGATCTGAAGACGATTGACTAAAGACAACAGTGCAGTTTTCTTGTTCTGGTCTAAATCAATTTCTCCAAGATTCATAGATTGCTGTAACTTTTCAAGTGCAGCAGTTACTTCAGTTAATAAATCCGTTCCTAATGTATCCACATGTTTATGCTTATCATCAATGAGTTGCTGTGGCTCCTCAGAGTTATTATCACTGGTGTTGTTACTAATATCATCCATATGACTTCCGAGATTGTTTTGTATGTTAGCCGCTAATAATCTCAAATCTTCCCCACTCTCAGTACCTGAGTCTTCAATAGGAAAATCATGTCCTAAACGATCATTGTTATTATCAATTAAATTATTATTATTATGCTCACTATTCATCTTAGTAGGAGAATTTTGTGTTGCTAAACCCTTGGACTGTTGAGCTATAGCTCGACTTAAATTTAATGTCAATATTTGACGTGCCGATAAATTTCTATATTTTGGATTCTGCAGAATTCCCGGTAAAAGCGATAGCAGTAGAGAAGACTCACCCTCTATCGTAGATTCAACTTTATCGTGAAGATTACTTCCACTGCTGCTGGCGTTGCTCTCAACCTCCAAGTCAGCACTTGAATTTTTTACTAATTCGGCGCAAGCTACAATAATAATTATTTCAATAATTTGTATATCAGGTCGATGATCAAGATTGATCGACAATGAAAAGAAAGAAAGAAAAAGAAAAATTGTTTCAGAATCAAAGAACTCTCTCAAATGACATTCAGACACGACAAAGTTTCAATCATGAGACGAACAAGGAACCGAATTTAAGGAAGTTTAATTTTGTTTGAATCACAATAATCGATGATCAAATGACGAAATCAAAGTGGAATGAACTAAAATTGAGACATAAAAAAATTGAGGAGGTACATTAGCCATGACAATGTCAATACAATACCTTCTTTATCAGCCATCACTTGACGGATTCTCTCCCGAATTTTCCTACGATCGTCGTAATTTGTAGCCGAGTCCAACTGCATCGGAATTATATTTTTAAGGGATGACATTAACACACATTATGATATTATTTTACAGCACATAGTTTTTGAATTTGAATGAGAACAATTAATTTTAATTAATGATCATGAAAATACAGAAAGAAGAAATTAGAAAAGAGTTTCATATGTGAGACACATATAAATCAATTTTGCAACACTTTCTGCTTCTGACTTACAAGTTTCTTCAATAAATCAACGTCCCAAATGTCGTTAATATCGTATGCTTTTGTTGATCCTAGTGAGGTCACTGTCTTTGTTGTAGTTTTTGATGCAGATGATTTCTACAATAGACAATTAAGAATTGATTAGAGATACTTGCAGATTTGGGTAAAAACAAATTAATTCATCCATTTGTGCTACATTGAACTTCCATAAATTGTAACACACATGGACGAATATTAAAATCATTAGGATTATTGGCATAGATTCAATATTTATGAATGCTATGCATGTAATTTGAATTTATTATGAGAAAAATGTACTGATCATCAATTGCCATAAAATCCTGTAGTCTTAATGTCTTCACTCTTGACCTAATTCTATGATCATTAACCCCAAAAGCAAAATCACTCGAATTTTTTCAAATTATTTAGCCATAAACCCGATTGATTGAATGTTAATGCTATCGACAGTTTTGCAGACTTGGGTGATCTCAGGTCTTATTGACTTTATCTGAGGAAACAGAACTTTTCTCGAATTCCTGCATTTCCTGACTTAATGAATTTAGTTTCTACTTTTATTTCAATTTTATGGCAGTTCCAAACCCAAATTTTATTCCCTCAATTTTTAATTACTTCAATCTCATCATTTGGATTTCCACTTAGACCAAAAAAATTAAAACTCGATGTAAAAACGAGATGGAAAAGTCTTAACAGAATTGCTATTATGAACCGATACATTGGAGTGATCAATTTAAACTGAACGAAAATTCCGATCATTTAACAAATTTTTCATGACTTATTTTTATTTTTATTGTCTATCGATTTCTGAGCGCATTGAAAGGATTCTATTTTTATGGGATCTTTGTAGAGTTCGTTTAACTTTTTTGTGGTATTTTGTTGCTGGCTGGAATTTTTTAAATTTAAATTGGAATTTTTGTACAATTATAGATCACGAGCTTAGAAGTTATGCAATGGAACAATCTTGTAAGTATAGAACCTAAATCTACTTTAGAATTTATGAAATTTAAAGCCTTTTACAGCGCAATTTATTATCCACAGAAATAAAGAAAGCAAAGCTGAAAGATTGATGAATGGCAAATAAATTTGCATTGTAAATATCTTATTGATGAACAGCTGAAACGTGACTTAATATTTATTTAATTACTGTCCTAGCACAACATCAAGGGAGTATACAGAATGTCTGATGAAAAAGTGACACTAATTATCCATTCGATTGCCAATAAATCTTACTTTGCTTCCTATTTTGTGGCAAATGTGATGATTTTTCCAAGCTTGCCAAAATTAGGAATCAATGTACTATGAGAGGATAGCCCACAAAAAAAAAGAAAAAGAATAAATCGTAGAAAGATTTTGAGCGAGAGAAATCACGAGGGAAATCCCAACAACAAAAAGGTCTGTAAGTACACAAGTTCAATCAACAACAAAATTTGACATGTCTGTCTGAATTATTTTATTGGTCAATGTACTCATTTTAAGGAATCCTCGACACGTTGTCGCTGTGGAAATTTGCGATCATTTTAAATTAAAATAAAAACTCACAAAATATTTTTCATCTCCTTATTTGGCCAAAAGGTGATTTTTATTTTTCGAAATGAAATTTTCTCAGAGATCAGAGAAAGCAGGTACGATAGATTCTCGTGAGAATGAAAATTCCTCTCTCATTTCATTGATGTAATCTCAGAAAATGAAGATTTCTTTACTTCTGAGCTGCTTAATTGAGAAAAAATTTGAAATTCATAAGCTTGATTTTGGTATTTTACAACAATGAAGCAGCTTAGCATTAAAGAATTTTGATATCAACGAGCACGTGCGTTTGTGGTGAAATTCGTTTTCACTTTTTTTTTCACCACAAAAATTCGAGAGCGTGTAATTCTTCCTACTTTCCGCGCTATCGAATTAATGAAAATTTTTTTCACTTTCTCGATTGCACAATTATCGGATTTTACTTTTAATTTTCATCCCGAAATATCAAAACTTTCTTCGTTTATGGCGCCACAAAAAAAAAAATTATTAGCGATGTTCTTTATGCGGCCTGCCACACACTACTAATTTTTCATGCCACCGTTTACTAATTAATTGCATAGTGAAAAATATTCGTGGTGTATGTACACAAAATAGTTTCGGAATGGGATGAATAAGAAGAGGGTAGCAAATCGGTGCGACAAACATTTTTTCTTTTCTTCTTCGACATACAGCATAACATAGTAGTTGTGCTTCTTATTCTAAACATTTTCATGAAAAATTTATTTTTGGACGAATGAGGTCAGTTTTGTTGAATCTATTTCTGTTCGGTAGCTGATGCACTTAATGCTGTAATATCACAGAAGAAAAATATTTTTGTTTCAATGTTCAGCACTTGGTGAACCTGAATTCAAAAAGAGTTGTTGTAAAGTGATCGTTTACGATCTTGTTTCTGCACAATAAATCTCAATCGTGAATGAAAACTAGCATCTTTTCTTCTTTCACATTTCATTCACAACTATTTCGAATATTTGTGAGATTTTTTGCGGAACTGTAAATTGCATAATAGACCGAAAATCTCGCACACAGACCAGAATGTGTGAAATTTTTTTGTTGCGATCTCTTTGAATGTAGGTGTTCCTCTATTTCATTTAAAATTCCTCAAACACAATATTATTGTTGCGCTAATAATTTTAATAATAAGAAAATATGCGTCGAAAATTCCTGAATACGACGACTAGACATTGGCTGCAGGTTTTCTGAGAATTTCTTTTATTTTGGACTGCAAATATCCTTTAAATAGCTTTCTATAATAATCAATTAAGAGCTTAAAATTTAGTAATATAGAAACATAGAAGGTAGTCCTGTCTTAAACCAATGAATTGTCAGCCTGCTCATCCACCGGCAACCTTAAGATAGCATTTAAGAAAATTTGCAAAATTTTCTTTTTTTTGTTGAGAAAACAATATAAAGTGTTCATGTTTTGTCTGTAGACATGTGAAATATTCTTAAGGTCATAAAATATTGAGATTTATAGACTTTAAAGTATAAAGTGAAAGGTAATTTTCGCATTGTAGATTTGCACAAAAATCCCATAAATGAATTTCGGGGTTAGGTCTACAAATGCTTGTTTGTTATTAATTAAAGAGAAACTATTTTTTTGGCATTAACTGCATAATTTTATGTCTTAAAAATTCGCAGTAAACCACAAACCCAACTGAAGTAAATCTTCAACTTGTTTGCTTGATTTTCGAGGTGGAAAAAAATATTTTCAAGTCATATTTCGACAGCATCAATTAGTAGTGCAAGAGTAAAGAATTATTAATGATTTCTCTTGTCAATAAATCATATCCAACTTCCTTCTATTTTGACCTAAATCATGATGAGCTTCTCCGGAAATTTCTAGCGATCATTCAACGCGCAAAAAAAACCAATTTTTTTTATCTAAATCAAATTTATTGTAAAGTGTATCGCTATAATAGATTTAATAGCTCCCCCTTAACTTCTGATTCACTATAAAAATTTGGCATCTGTTTTAAGACTAGATTTTATTATATTGTGATCTCAATTCTATTTTACAACTTGTTTATATTACTCATATACACTTCTTGTGTCGAGTGTATTATTATTATTGGAAACGCATCGACTAAGAATTGGAAAAATCTCAAAAAGTTTCGAGTTGCTATTTTTATGTGCTATTTAAAATCACGCTTGGAATTTGTTTTATTATTCAGTGATTATTTAAATTTTAAGAGATATTTCAGACGATATTGTTCATTTATTTATTTTTACTGGTTAATTAAAGCTTGCAAAGTATAAATGCTTAGAAGTCAAAAAGCCGGGCTGTACTTGCAATTGAAAATGAATCATAAATTATAAACAGACATAAATTCACTGACTTCTGTCATTAAATATCACGTACGTTGTATTCTCTGTTGTGATTTTTTAAAAAGTTTTTTCAACTTTTTATATTCAGACGCCATTACACAGTGAGGTTCATTGTTTTGACTCGCTTAATTTGTAAATTCCGAGAATTACTCGCTTTAAAATGTCACATTTATGCGAATTTTCTGAGAATTTGTTCTATTTACATGATTTACTGGTTTTTTCTACCTCCGCAATTCCTTGTTGATGACCAAATATCCGCTTGACTATATCGCAAAAAAAAAACATAAGGTGTGAACTTAATATCCATGACGATCAATTAATATGAAACAAACTCTGAAAACTTCAAGTCCATTAGTCATCTTACATAAACAGGCACAGAATGGGATTAAAATAATTTAAATGAACTTGACATACACAAAAATTTAAAAATATCCCAGCATAAAAAAATATTTGAAAAATGACGCAATAATATTTTTATGTTCACAACCTTAGGAACGACATTAATGCCATCCAAAATCTTTATGGTATATTAAACTTTACATATGACCTGTGAAAAAAATTATAATTCCTGCATCAACCAGCACTTTCAATTAAAATGATTAATTGCTTTGTTTACACATCATGTCATGTCCAAAACTATGACATTGCCGCTTAATTAAAAAAGATGAAGTAATTGATATTATTGGTCGATAATCAATGATGATCGTGACTCATGAAGATGAAGTCTAATATGTAATTTCCTTTATTGTCAAAAGTGTCAATGATTCGCTTATTAAATCTGCAAATTATACGACTTTAAAGGCACAATGGTAATTTTTTGGAATTTTTTGCAAATTAGCCTCTGCTACGTGTACAATTGATGATTATTTTTAAGGCTATAATCAATGAAATGTCAATGCAGAGCTGCAATCATTGAATGGATTAGTCCACTTAGTAAGACTTCCACCCCCAGTGTCAAATAATTTATCAAGCTGCGATCATGTTAAAATGAGTTTAAATATTTATTTCCAGCTGCCAAATGAATGTTACGACAATCTCAGACGTCACGAAAAGTCAAATTAAGGAGAACGAAATTTTCACCTTTTTTAATATCTTTCTAAATTTATTCTCTCTATTTATATTTCAATTTTCTTTTCTTCTTCTATATTTGCAAGCAAGACATTTTTCGCCCTATTTGTTCACAGTTTCATTTGTGGCAATTTTCTTAATATCAACATCTTAATTGCGTTCAATGATTATAAATAGATGACGATTTTTCATCTTCCAGAGAAGCGCAAAAAACACAGCGAAGCATTTCATGCAAAGCTGGCTGGCAAGCGCAATTGAGAAACATAGAAAGATATTTTCTAAAAATAAAGAAATCATCTTCATCCAAAAAGAAATCACAGCTTAAATTCGAATGATTTAATGATTATGTTTACAGTCTCGTTTATAATTGCATGGACAATTTGACACTCTATGACGCAATAATTTGATTATTGCTAGATGAAATTTGAATAAAATCGACCACGCGTGGCTTACATGTGGAATATAAATGACGGGAATACGAAAAAGAAAATCTTCAATGATCTTCGCTTTTTCCAATTCGCATTTTTCTTAAAATAATCAAGAGAGACTCTATTTTTATCAACGTATTTTCAAACGAATATAAAAACAAAGTAGAAATTGCTTGTGGCATTTTTTAAAGAAGAGAGTAAGTGTACGGAGGAGTGAGGGATGGAAACTTTTCGTTCATAAATCAGGAAGTCAATTAATTATTTTTTTAAAAATATTAGAAAGTAATTAGTAAATTAACCTTCTCTTAAAAATTAAAACAATCACTTTGTTAAAAATACTAACGACCTTGAGGAAATGCGATCCCTTTGATGATACAAAGAAAAAGCACTCACACATAAATGTCATGTCGCAGCATACAATTTAAGATGTGGGAACGGAAATATAAACAAAATGTTTGAGATATTTTTGTTTTGACTGCCTTAGACTAGCTTATTGTAATGTATTTTGGATTATTTGATGTTTGATGTAGCCTACAAGGAACTATGAAGCTCAATCTGAATATTCTTGAATTTTCCTAAATACATGCCTGAAAAGCACCTAACCTTAATTTCCAGTTTCTAGTTGAATGAATTTCAAAGCATTTAGAAAAAATAAATTAAAATTGACAGCGCAATTATCCAATATTCAACTTGGGAAGCACTAATAGCTCAAAATAAACTGTTTTTCATCTTAATCTCAAAATAAAACTAAAATGTCTGAATGATTGCTAGAAGTGGCAAACATTAAATCAAAAAAACATCTTCAGAAATGAGTTCACATGCACTGATTGATGATCGAAAAAACTGCGCCATTCGTTTATTGACATTTAAGTATGACGATTTCAGTACTTATCATCCACATTCTACGCAGAGCGAAGATCTTTTGAAGGAAGAAAAAAACGTGTAGTCGGCTGTATTGATACTTGGCATTGAAAGAAAAATGGAAAAACCTTAAAGGCCGCTGAGTGATATAAGGCCAGATAAAAATTGGGATGAAAATCCTCAAGACTCGTGGAAAGTCTTACAATTATTTTTTATTATTATTAATGACGGAAAGATAAGGTAGATTTTTGAGTCTTACGAACACAACAAACGTATTTTCATTGATCACTTGCCAATTTACACATGAAACCGCTGTCGGATTCACTATTTGGTGTACAAGAAAAAAAAATCAGTTTTGAATTAATTTTTTTTCGTCTACATTTTTTTGATAAATGTATCGGAAATCGAACCAAATTTAGTCATTTTCATTCGAATCACATTTGCGTACTTAGAAGAAAGAAACTCTTTGCTTTTGTGTACGCAATTAATTGATTTCACTTTTCTTTCTTTTCTTCTTTTTCCGCTACATTAAATTGCTTTAAATTTATATTTTTATACACAATGTGATTTATTTAAATTTTACTTCACTTTATTTTTAATTCAGGTGCGCTCCAATTAATTTTCATTACTCTCTTTGATGATGATTACCTCAATTGATTACGGCAAATTGTTACAGAATATAAATCAGTGTTTCTAGTTCTTTTTCTTCTTCTTAGCTCTGATCTGAATTTTCAATGTTAAACAAAAATCCAGTAGAATTTTTTTTTTCTCTTTATTTTTCCATCAATTCTGGAAACTTTTTAATCACTTTTAATTATTTTTTTTTTGTGGATGAAAACTTTTCAGTTGCTATTTCGACATCAATTCAACCGAAACTGAAAAAATTGTCTGTGTCCAAAAAAGAATGAAAAACTCGCGAAAATTTTCTTTTCTCTCTTTTTTTTCTCGCGTTTTTAAAAAAGATTTTCTTCGATCTTTACTAGACACGCTCAACAGAAAATAAGATTGTTAATGCGAAACGATTAGTATGAGCTTCAAACGAAGACTGAAAATGTGAAATGCAATCGTAAAAGTAAGATTAATTAACAAAAAAAAAAATACTTTTCTTCCTACCTTTTGGCGAAATGCTTCGCGATATTTTTAATAGAGAGATAAACATTATTTGTGGGAGAGGCTTTTCAGCTCTCAGATTGCACATTTTAGCTTCTGTGAGATACATTCTTCATTTTCTCAGTTTACAATGCGTGAAAAACAGATGTTTTCAGCAGATGATGATCGTGAATATTAAAAAGAAAATTCTGTATAAAGGATGAATTATTTCCGCAAGCTATTTTTGCCAGCAAACTTATATAGCATGTGGAAATGTCCACAGAAGGCATTGTCATAAATTTATTGCATTTTAAATGCATCCTTTAGTGAAACTCAGAGATAATTAGATTAATTAATGAAAATGTCGAGGCACCTGCAAACTAATTTCCTTCATTTAAACTTCCTTGACGATCACCCGAGTCAAAAATAAAAGAACGATTTATTTTGCAAACTAAATGCTTTAATCAAGTTTATTAAGCTTCCAAAAATATTTCAATTTCACGTGTTAGACATTTTCTGTTAGATAAATGACAATATTTATTTTTGATCTTATCGAGGGGGCTAACATGCTGAAAAACTTTGTAATTTAAGCCTCTTCGTTTCCAACGGATTTATTGGTCGGATTGAAAGCAAGCTTTATTTTGACAAATTTTCAGCATGTTCGCCCCATCAAGATTTTCTCAAAGTTTTAAATATAAAAATCAATTATGAGAGATTATTAGTCGATTATTGAGATTAAGATATACATATTGTATGAGTCAAGGTCCATCAACTTAACATACTTTAGCACTCCAAAAAAATGATCAAGATTAAATTTCAATTTCTAAAATATTCATGGTCAAGTATAAAAATACGAATTTCAGCAATACATGTTCAAAAGTTGATGAACTTTGGATATGAAAAAATGTCAAATAATTTTTGACAGCATAAAAGTTGATACATAAAACATAAAACATAAACTGATTTTTTTTTCAATAGCTTCACAACTTAAAAGTTCTACTTTCTTACCGTTTTATTCTTCGCACCGCCTGTTGACAAATAACCCTTGGATAGACCAGAGCTGCTCTCAATTGTTGTCATCAAAGCTGAGGCACCAAAATATTTATTCAATAGAGCTTTAGCTTCAGCATCTTCCTTGGTATCACCATCATCGAACACTGCAAAAAAAAGAATATTATCAATAATCACTGCTATATATCCATAAAGAATCTAGCTCACCTTCATCAGCATTTCTCATATAAGTAATGACTTCCTTCACACTCGAAGCTTTCTTGTCATTATTTAAAAATGACTTAGTTTCACTTGATTGACTTGATCTGACTGTCTTTGAGACACTACAGCATTCAGAATCATGATGATCTACAGATGATCGCTTGCTCTCAGTTCTAGACATTTTGGATGATGAGTCTTTTCTTACAAACTTTTCTTTAATCTCTTTGACTGAACCATTACGAATGACTCTTGGAGTTGACTTTTTATCACTTTCAAATTTTTCAACCTTAGATACGCTATAGATTCCACCTCGTGAATCTTTTCGCTCTGACTTCGATTTAACATTCACACCAGCTTCACCACTGAAGTCTGATGGATCTGATGAGTATTTCGTTGTTTTTCGTTGTACAACAGCTGGTCCACCATTTTCTGAATATGAGACTTCGCTGACGACTGTACCAGTTGCTGTAAAATATAATTATATTAATTTGAATTTTATAATCAATTAATAGTGACTTACTTTTACTTTCTACAACTGCTGGACTTTTCTTCTTGAGAGCTTTCAAGCCGAACAATGGAACTCCGTTTTCAGTTGGACCAACACCATAGCTCGATGTAATACAATCTGTCTCATCACAGCATGTCTTTGAACAAGTCTCACGCATAGTACTGCTCTTCTGTGTACTACTGGTTGCCGATGTTTTCCTTACATTTTTTACAACACTTTCTGTGACTTTGCCTTTATTGTTTTTATTGAAAGTTTCAATGATTGTGCGTGGCGATGCAGTAGATGTGACTTTAGTGGTTTTTGAAATGACTTTTGGTTCCTTATCACTCGAAATTCTTGTCGTAGTGGTCGTAGTAGTCACAACACTCGATTTAACACGTGAATCATCATCTCGTGGAGCTTTAAACTTTTCTGATGTCTTTCTTTCAGTGACTTGCTTCCTAGTCACAGGTTCATTGCGTATTGTTGTCTTTGTGGTAGTCATTCTTGAAGACTTGATTTCACTGGCAGTTTTACTATCTTCAAGCTTCTTTTTGACTATTCTAATTTGAGCACGAATACGTCTTCTTTGTTCGTAGCCAACAACAATTTCTAATAATTTTTCAAGTTCATAAAGATCAAAGATTTCTTCAATATTGATTGTCTCACTTCCAAGGCTGACTTTTCTTATTGATGACGTGGTGCTTGTGGATGTCTTAAATGAATCTGTTTTCTTGAGTTCAACTCCGAATTTTGTTGGTGATCTTGGAGATTCTGGAATCTCATCACGTGGTTCCGATGGTTGTTTAGATGTTGATCTCGTTGAATCTCTTCTAGTCTCATATCCTTCATGCTTAGATGTTCTGCTTAATTCAGACTCACGAATTTCAGCTCTTGCAACATGTTCAAGAGATGCAAGTGTATGCTGCATATAATGTTTATCACTGCTTGACATTTTTCTGGTTGACTGATGAACATCTTCGGATGTGACTGATGTTGTGTACTGCTTTTCTTCAATTGAGCTTTGTTGTGACAATGGCTTATGATATGATGTCTCACTGTCCAATTTTGATGAGGAAATTCTCTTTTCAAAAAGATCCTTTTTAGTTGAAACTTGATCCTTCATATAAATTGGAGTTCTATCAGATGAGCCACGTCTTGATGATGGTTTTGCATCTGTATCCTTTAAAGGTGATTGTCTATCAGGAGTTCTTTCATGCAATGGCTTTTCTTGGACTGGTTTTTCATATACTTTACGTTCAGGAACTGGAGTTCTTTTGCCTTCAAAAACAGATGGACGAGATAAAATATCATTTTGACGATTAATTTCTCTCGTTTTGGATGAATTCGTTTCAAAGACTTCACGAGCCTTTTTAATTGCTTCTGTGCTCTTTAAAGTTATTTCAGATGATTTCAAGTTTGTTTTTGTATCGCGTTCAAGTGTCGACATTTTTTCGTTGGTCAAAAATGAATCATTAATATTCTCGATCTTGTCACGAACATGCTTTGAGGTTTGTTTCATAATATTCTTGACCAGCTCGGGGGATTTTTGTGGTGTTGTTGTGCCAATTTTCTCAGCAGATGCGATAAATTTATTGACTTTATCAGAAACGCTTAATAAGCATTCATCATTTTTGAGATTTTCATCGACTTCATCGATAGATGTTGTGAGCGTGTCTTCAAGTTTATGCTTAGTAACGGTTGTGGTTTCGTCTGTAATTTTTGTGAATTTTGAAACTTTCTCATTCAAGCTTAATTTTGCATCATCATCGACATCGTCAGGAACATCTTCCAATTTATAATCGTTGTCTTTTTTGAATTTCGATGATGTTTTCGGTTTCTTAAGCTCGTCAACAGTTTCATTAAATTTATTAACTTTCTGGGAAACGCTCAACAAATGTGAATGCTCTTCTTCATCATCCTCTGATAAAGCATCAATCTGTACAGAGTTTCTTTTACGATCAGCTTTTTCAAGTGTCGAGGAATTAATAATCCTTTCAGTTTCCTCAAATTCTTCTTCCTCGATAATTGTATGACCTTTTTCAGTTCCAACTTCAGTGATTTCTAATCCAACAAATTGATTTGTTTCTTCTTGGTAAATTGGGACATTTCTAATTGCCGGCTTTATTTTTCGTCCATCATCTGGTTCTGTGACTTTATGTGGATGTAAAATATGTTCATCATTAACTTCTTCATCTGTTTGAACTGGAATTGGTACAACTTTATTCGGAGATGGTTCCCTTGAAGATTTTGCATGCTGAACATTGATGTCAATTTCAACATTATCAAGAGTATTGGAATGTAAAGTTGTTGTCCCTCCATTAACATTTGTCAAATTAATCGTCTTTGTTGTTATGCATTTAACTGGTCGCTTGCTTTCTTTTTTTGGCGTTTCTCTTGACTTTTCAACTGTACTCTTCTTATCATTCTTAATGATTCTTTCACTGAATGTTCTTGTTACTTTTTCCTTATCATGAACACTTGTTGTTTTAGTCACCGGTGCAGTATCTTTGCGATTTTGAAGCAACTTCTTCTTTGTTGATTTATTGCCAGGTTTGTCGATATTTCTAATCAGTTCATGATCAGTGTCACGATCGGATTCAGGTTCTGTTGATGACACATCTGTATTTTGCTTCAATAATTTGATATGTGGAGCAACTTTAAGGTTCTTGTTGCTTTGAACTGTTGTTGTCTTTGTGACAAGTTTGCTTGTAATTCCACGTGATGGTGAGATTGTAATTTGTGCAGTAGTGATGTGAGTTTCTGGAGATTTAGGTCTTGTTGGACTTCGACTGCCCTTTCTTTCAGTTACTTTTGTTGTTTCTGTTATATCAACTGTATCTCTAACTTTTGATGGCTTTCTTTCATCAGGAATGTTTGTGTTAGTGTCTGGCTTCTTATCTTCAGGACGTTTATGAACTAGATTAGTAGTTTTAGTTGTTATAGTAGAACTTGTATTAGTAATTTCAACATCATTTGATCGATCTTTCGGCTTTTTGGATTCCGTTTGCTGCTTACGAGTTGGGCTTCTTTCTGGTGATGATGGACGAGCATGTTCAGTTTTTTCATGCTTTATAAAATCTGTAGTAGCACTTGTGAGTGACTTTCTTTTATTAGTTGTTGTTACTGACGATTTTTCAATCTCTTCAATTTTAGCTTTACGTTCTCTTATTTCTGAAACACGTCCAGGAGCTTGACTTGCCTTAGTTGGTTTCAAATAGTTTGGAATATCTTTAGGCTCGTCATCAGGTTTTACACCAATGAGTTTTTTAGCTCGTTCTTCAAACGTTTCACTTCTATTGAATGGCTTCTTATCACCTTTTGGTGCTGTCTTAGTAGCTTTTTCATCAACAATTTCACTTATTGTAGTTTTAATTTGCAAGTCATCCAACTGATCTACATTTTCAATGTTAATATTGATTTCAATGTCCTCATTATCTAAATCAGTTATCATTTTTCTGTGATCACTTGCTGAAATATATTCCAAGTCACTGACACTTGTTGTTGCTGACATATTTTTAGAGTCAATGGTCTGAATGATTTTCAAGTCATTTATTGTTTTGTCAATATTGTCAATCTTAATTGTTGCTGTTAAAATATCTTCTGGTGTATCTTGTTCCTCATAATCTGGTCTTTTAACAGGTTTCGATGGACTTAAGTCTCGTGGAAGAGATGTTGTTTGCTTTTGTGGTGATGTGCCACGAGAATTTGATGGACTTGATTTTACTGGAGTGGATTCTCTTGGATATGTGCCTGTTGATGATGGTTGATACTTTTGAGGCGAATTTTCACGAGAATTTGATGGACTTGACTTTACTGGAGTTGTTTCTCTTGGATATGACTTTGTTGGATGATGCTTTTGTGGTGAAGGATCACGAGAATTTGATGGACTTGACTGAGCAGGGGATGAATCTCTTGGATAAGATTTTCCTAGCTGATGCTTCTGTGGTGAAACATCACGAGAATTGGACGGAATAGATTTGACAGGGGATGTTTCCCTTGGATACGTTTCGGTTGGAGCTGAATTGTGTTTTTGTGGAGATGACGAGCGTATTTTATCGTTTGGCTGACTTGCAATTGGTTTTTGTGGTGATGTGGCTCTAGAAGTTGAGCTTTTAGCAGGAGAACTTTCACGAGGCTTAAGTTCTGGAGTAACTTGATGCTTCTTTGAAATAATAATTTCTTCGTCACTTTCATTGGTCACTGTTTTAGTGACTGTCGACTTTTTAACTTCCGGTTTTGTGGGCGAAACATTTCTTGGAGATTCGTGGCTTGGTTTTTGTGGAGATACAGTCCTAGGTTTGTCATTGCTTGGCTTCTGTGAAGAAGCAGTTCTGGGTTTATCTGGCTTGTCACTGCCTGGTTTTTGTGGTGATGAAGTTTTAGGCTTATCATCTCTGTCACGGACTGTAGAATGAATGCTTTCACTTGTTGTTGTTTCAGTTACAGAAGTAATATTTTTATTTTGTGGCTGCTTGTCTGGACTAGTAGATGGATACTTTTCAGGGCTATGAGATGAATTACGTCTTTCAGTAGTTGGAACTTTCTCTTGATTTTTTGGAGCTGTTTTACGATCAATTGATGGATATTTTTCAGGGCTCTTGGATGGTGTTCGGCGATCTAATGATGAATACTTTTCTGGGCTTTTAGTAACTGTTCGACGATCTAATGAATTTGTATGCTTAGTATTGTCATCCTTTCTTATATCAACATTTGATGACCTTTTAGTAGAGATTGTAGATGAACTGTATCTACTGTTTGTTTCACGCGATGGACTTCTACGATCTATACGAGTTGTTGATGATCTATCAGGTGGTGGTGTTACGCTACGTAATGAGCTTGCAAAAGCTCTATGTGCTGCATCAACTTCCAATTCGCGTGTTATTTTTTGATCTTTTTGCTGCTTTATTTGCTCATCGATACGCTTCTGCTCCAATTTTCTCACTTCCTCTCTGCGATTAATTTCATCGCGAGATTTTTCAAATTCATTAACGACCTTTTTATCGTTTTGTTGAACGATGATTTCAGATGTAACATCATACTTTTCGGTATTGCGCTCATTCTGAATAAAATCGCGTGTTTTGTGATCATGTTTATCCTTTGCGGTTGGACATTGGCATGAAGTGTCGATAATTTTCTTCGTTACTGTTTCTTCAACAATCTCACGATTTGTTGAATAATCATCACTTCTTGGCCGTGCCTGTTGTGTTGTTGTATGGATTGTTTTAACATTCTGAACATTTTCTACATTCTTGACATTTCTAGATTGTGTGTCAACGTTTTCATCAATTCTTTCGAATCTCTTAGTTGTGACAATTGTTCCATCATGCAATTCCTTCTTCTCAACAATTTGCCTTGTTGTTGGATTAGCCATTGTTACATCACGTGATAGAATTTTACCTGGCTGTTCAGCTAAACGAAAAGCTTCCGCATCTTTCGGTGTTCTGTAAGTTGTATCAACTTTTGTAGTATTTGTGTCACTTCTTAATGACTTTGTAAAATCATCATTTTGGCGTTCCTTAGTGATCGATGTATTTGTTCTTGTATCACTTGTGGAATCAACATTTTCAAATCGTTTAGTAGTGACAATTGTGCCATCATGCAATTCCTTCTTTTCAACGATTTGTCTAGTCGTGGGATTTGTCATTGTGACGTCACGTGATATGATTTTTCCAGGTTGATCTGCTAAACGAAACGCTTCTTCATCTCTGGATGTTTTATGAGTTGTGTCCACTTTAGTTGTTTTTGAATCACTGCGTAATGATTTTGTAAAGTCATCATTCTGACGGTCTTTAGTGATTGATGTTGTAGACGTTTTTGTATCATTTGAAGAATCAACAGATTCAAAACGTTTTGTTGTGACAATTGTGCCATCATTTAATTCTTTCTTCTCGACAATTTGTCTTGTTGTCGGATTAGTCATTGTTACATCACGTGAAATAATCTTTCCAGGCTGTTGTGCCAATTTAAATGCTTCTTCATCACGGGATGTCTTGAATGTTTGATTATTTGAAGTTGTGGATGTTTTTGTAACATGTTCAGATCTTGCATTATCATTTGATCTATCATTAGATACTCTTTCGAATCTCTTGGTTGTAACAACTGTTCCATCACTTAGTTCTTTCTTCTCAGTGATCATGCGAGTATTCGCATCAGTCATTGTAACATCACGAGAAATAAGATTGCCTGGTTGTTGTGCAAGACGAAAAGCTTCTTCATCTCTAGTTGTTGTGTTTGATGTCTCAGTATTTCTCGATTGATTTGTAGTTTCAGTATGATGCTTATTCACATTTGTGGTTTTATTGTCACGTTGATTATTTGATGTGGTTGTAGCTTGAATATCTACATGTTGTGAACTAATCGGCTCAAATCTCTTTGTTGTAACGATTGTTCCGTCAGTAAGCTCCTTTCTTTCAGTAATCATATTAGTTGATTCATTTGCACGTTCGACTTTACGTGACAAAACAGTACCTGACTGTTGAGCTAAGCGAAAAGCTTCTTGAACAACAGCTGGATCTTGTGATAGCTTTACATTCTCATTTACATTTGACTTTTGAGTGTCAACATGACTAGATGATTTGACATTACTTGTCGTTGATGATCGTCGAGAATCATAATCATTGGAATTTGACTGGAAGTTGTCATTTCCGACCATATTGTCACTGAAATCACCAGTATTGTTTGATGTACGAATTACTTTTGTTGTGTGGCTTGATGATGATGATGATTTGCTTTCCGTTCTCTTATTCGTATCATCCCCAGTCACAATATTTTCATTTAATACCATATTTGTTGACTCGCCGGTTGTATGAGTAAAATTGTTTGCGTCACCATCAATTCGTTCAGTTTTGAGTTCTTCATTTTTGCCAGAGAATGCTTTCTGACCGCCTTTTATGGCAGTAACGCCTTCAGTTTTTGCCAAAGTTTTGTCCGTTCGTGCTTTACCATCGTCGGATACTTCAGACGATGTTATTACATTCCATCCGCCAGTATTTCCAAACTTGATGTCACTAAACATTTTTTTATTCAATTTTTTAATTCCGACAAATTTAAAAGTCATTTATTTAAACTCACCTCATATCTGTACCGTGAATCTCATTGCTTTTTAAACTTTCGAAACTATGATCAGCCATAGCATCACCATGACGACTAGTTATTGGTGCTTTTGCATCAAATGATTGTTGATTTTTAGGATCCATTTCATTAACATAAAATTCTTTCAATCGCGCCTCGCGCAATTTGTACATATGCGATCTAATCTCCTTCTTTCGACCAAAATCTTCCGTCTCTTGCCACTGTAAAGAAGGTTAATCTATTGTCAATATTCATAAAGCTATATGAGATTATTGAATTAAATTATTGTAATAATTTTCTCTTAATACTAAGTGGGATGTGACAAAATGTCTATTATCAAGAACACACACGACATTATTGGTAAGTAAAATTTGGAAATTATAATAATAAATCTGTATCCATATTCGATGTAAACGTGTCGATGAACTTATAAATGTTAATGTCTCTATTTCGGTAAAGTCAAGTTTCTAAATTTGATTTTCATTATAACAACAAAATGTTTATAGTTTTGGAACACTAGAATCAATAAGAATCGACATTAATGTTGAGTTAGAAGAGCAAATGTGTCTCGCAGTCAAATCATAATTATAACGTTTGAAGTCTGAGACGATCAAGTTTTATATAGAAGTGATTCATATAAAGTAAAGCTTTAAAAACATCTAGCAAAATCCACCTACAGATTTGATTTGCCATAAATGGCCTTTCTTCTCTATATTCAAAATGAAATAAAAATTTTCATACTAATTTTTTTGTTTTTTTCCTTCTTCTCAAACTGACTGTCTACATTGAACGACAAGTTGAGAGACTTCTAGACAGTAGAAACAGTGACAGAAAAATAAATTATTAAGAAATAGCGCCGAAGCACAAAAAAAATGTTGGATTATATTCCGATTTGTCGATTTCAGATATTTTTTTATGTGACCTAAATGAAGTGTTGATTTTACTAGCTATGTTGTCCACCTCTTTACTCTAAATGTTTTATTCCATACAGTTGAATAAACTGTAATTTTTTTATTTTTAACAACATGGGAATGTGTTTAGCTTGTTTGACTTCAGCTAGACTGTGTTAATGGATCTCATTTTAGCAGAGCATATTTTACCATAATTTGCATCAAAATTAATGGATATATAATTTTCTATTCATTGAATATTTTCAAATTCAGCTTAAATTAGCGTCTTTAGTAAAGTTAAGTGGTGATTTCATGGAAATTGAAATTGAAAAAAAAAATGAAGTCAGAATCAGAGCCTGTGCGACATTTTAATGTAAATTGCAGAAAACTAAAGACGAACGTGGGAATTACTGTGAAAATTATTCATTGACATCTCATATTAATCGATTATTTATTGTATTTTAAGTGATTTTTATGTATGAGATAGTTTGGATGACATCATGTCAGTTGAAAATGATAGCTAGGCGCGTGGTAATGAAAATACAATGTTTATTGTAATAGGAGTGATGCAAAGTTTCTATGGAAAGATGACATTTATTACTATGGAGTGTGATTTGCAAGAAATTTAAGTGAGTTATGTGATATTTGGCAGTTTATCCCTGAAAGCATGATCCATTATGGTCAAAACTGATGCTATTTCAATGAGAAGCTCCACATTCATCACTCATTTTTACATTCATAACTCAATTATTTCCGATCATCAACAAGACTGTCGAAAAAAAATTCGCATAAACCTCAAAAAATATTTGGAATGACCTTAGCTGTATAAAAATAGATAAGTACAATCATTCGATGTGAACTGACTCTTGAAAGAACATTAAATCAAATGAAACTTAAAATTTATCACTCCATAAATTGAATTAATTTAAGAAAAAATAGATTGGTGCTTTATGGAATAAATTTTTTGCAATATTTCATTTAATTAAGTTGATTGAATGGACTCAAGAAACGCGCATATTCATTAAGTAAACACAGCACCATTTCTATAGCAAATTAATGTCCGTTTTCTTATTATAATTAAGCATTGAAATCATAAGACTCGATGATTTTATGGTCGTGGTATGTAATTTATTTTCATAGGTAAATGTGCACGCATTCAAGTCTAATTTCTCATGCATGCATATCTATTTATTTCAGACTTTGCTTGTTTTTATCGAAGCTGGTGTGGATTTGGACTCAATTTGGCTACTTGGGTTTATAGGAATGGTTGAATGTTATTGACACTGTGACTGGGACTGGATTTTAAATTTTTCAGGTATGGATTAGGTGATTGTTATTAAATTTAATGAATAAACAGCTGTCACATCAAGAATTGAACCACAAAAACCTGAATTTTACGCAAGAAATTCCAACAAATCCTCAAAGTCAACCACAAATCAGAAGTTCAACTGCCTAAAAATGCGTCCAATCCACTCACATGCAGAAACTTTCATACATTCGTATGCTAATGTTCACATTACATTTCTCGAACAAAAATCATCATTAGTGTTATGTTCTTTTAATTCACCATAATCGACCACTAATTGGAACATTCACAATAAGAAATTTAGCCTAAATTGGTCAGAATTTTATTTTTTCTTCCATTCACCCACGCACAAATTTGAAACTTTTTTATTTATTTTTTTAAGCGATCGTCATAAAAGATCGAGTCATGACTAATATTAGAGATAGCACTGATTTACTGAGCGGCTTTCTATTCATTTGACAACATTGAATTGCTAATTAATGGACACAATTTCCGCAAATGTTCTCATTAGTAAGATAAATAAAGGCACAAACCTAGATTAACTCTTTATTATCTTGGGAACAGCACAAAAAAATTAATATTTAATTTGTTAATGTCGCGGTTTTAAACCTCTTTAAGAATGAAAAATGAACTAAATTTCAGTAATTTTTATAACACAGACAAAAGAGAAGTAACAATAATAATAAGTTTATAAATATTTCGCGTTATAGTCGGAAAGTCAACTTCACCGTTCCGAAATCCAAATCGAACTGGAGAAAAAAAAACACCATCCAAATAAAAACAAATGCTGCTTTAAAGTTGAAGGAAAGAAGAAAAAAAAATCTCTCACAATGCGCGGGTTTCTCCAATAGCACACATTCACAGCACTCGCAAAATTTATTATTTAATAAAAGCATCTGTCATTTATGGCACACGACTTTTTATTTCACTTCCCTTTTATTGCAATTTTTTTTTGTAGTTCCATTAATAATGGATTTGTGTTTTTTTTTGAAAGTTGTGCAAATTTCATTTGTTGTCATTCTTTTATCTTTGACCCCAAACGTCATGTGACATGGAAAATTAATCAGCATTTCGTTCATGACTGATGTAAAGTTAAATGACCACACATGAAAATCGCTCAACATCATAAATGCAGTCAATTAATCTCAAAAGAGAGAGAGACTTAGAGCGAGAAATATATACACAATGAGAAGCCTTCCAGCTAGTACTCAAAATCGCCTACTCAATGCTTAGACTGGCTTTATAAAGTCAATAGAAATAAAAGTTTAAAAAAATTGCACTTTGTAAGAAAAATTGAGTTGGTGATTTTACAGCTTCTAAAAATGTCTCATAAAAACTTTTCACTGATTCTTGGCTTACTAATATTTCTCTTCGACAGCAGGAATATGCACCTCTATTTACATCCCACGTGTGATATTTTATATTTCATTGCCATGATTTGTTTTTTTATTTTTATATTTTTAATCAAATTTGGTATGCGAAGTTCTTTATAGGCACACATTATGAAAGTGAAAGAAAATTTATTGTAAAGAACAGGTTAGTGATTGTAATTTGGAATAAATAAATTTTATAAAGTCGACAATATGTAAATGAAGCAATTTCTTTATATCATGTTATAAATTTATTGTCACAACTTTACGGAAACTTCCTTTCTTGATAGTTTTGTTTCGATTTCTATTGAAATGTGATACTTGACATCAACCAGCATTCGCTAATAGCCGGCAAATAGAGAGACTTAACAAAAGTAAGGTATAGTGGCGACAAGATCTCATATTACTTTTAGCAACAAACTGTTGTTTTATAAATTTACATTTTTTTATCTATTTGGATGAGCTTGGATTGTTCAAGCATGTATAAACACTTTTTTGTTGACATTTACAAGCAATTTATCAAGTGCTGAGGTGGAAATTAAGACATTTATAAATTGCCTAAAGATCTCATAAGCTTGTATATATTTTTTGGTGTTTTCCAGAAAAGTTTAAAATTATTTGCAATTTTTAAAAATAAACCGTTAATTTATTTTTTATACGACATAATTCATCACTTTCAACACTAAGGGCACTTAGCTCAGAGGAAAGAGTACTTGCTTCGCATGTGAGGGGTCGCGGGTTCGAACCCCGCAGTGTCCAAAATTCTTTTTTCACTATTAATCAACTTTTTTCTTGTAAAATGGTAATTAAGTTAAGTTTTTAAATTTTTTCAAATTTTGTTAAGGTTTTGAAATAAAAATTGAAAATTTAAGCTTGTCTATTTTGAAATTCATCAAAAAAATCAGTCACATGATTCAATTTAAATGCAGCATTTGGCATTAAACCTTCAAAATAACAAAATTAAATTCAAGAGCAAACTTTTGAAAAACAGGAAAAGTGAGATTAAGAATTTTATACTTTCTTAAGCATCTGAAATTGCTCTAAACAAGAAATTTATTGAGGATCTGACTGTCAAGATTCATCATTATAGAGCACTGCAATAGTCCTATTAAAATGTTTATTAAACGATGATAACACGCAAATGATGAACTGTATGGGTTTTAAAATGTACAGCAAAGCGATGATGATGATGACGATAATCACGCCATCGTTTTACTGTCACCTGCCTACGATCTACGTTTAGGTGAACTTGAATATATTTTTTCAATGAAAAACTTTTATTTTGTGTGATGATTTCATGTCAATTGTCTGATTTTCCACACCGCACATTCATGGGTCACAATATGAGCTCATATGAATAAAAGCATGTGTCAAATCGATACGTTTAATAAAAACTGATCAGTGTTGATTTCAAGAACACCCTCTCAGTAACCTAACCCAAATTTTTATTATTATTATATTTCCCATACGAGAATGTTCTTTTGTGCTGTAATAATAACAGGCAATTTGAATTACAATAGTATAAATGAAAAAGAGGCTACCGACACACAGAAAGAATACTTCTTAAGCTCAAAATGGAAAAGATCCATTAACTCTTTAATGCTGGCTACCTTAAAACTCACCTAGAAAGATATGTCCACTTAGTTAAGAGCTACTTAAATTTATTGTCATTGAACTTTGTAATAATAAAGCACTTATTGAAGATACCACTGCTGCTGGTGCTGTTGGTTGAGCTTGTAGCATTTTTGGACATTGCAATAATATTGCTTCATTACATACTGTGTCATTTGCCAAATTTGTCATTTTAATGTCTCATAAAACTTAAAGAAATACAAGCACAAACAAAAGGTTCATAATAAAAGAAAGAGTCTTGCTTTCTTCGTATTGTTGTGTTTAGAAAAGTTGGATGTGCATTTTTACTGGCTGAAAGCTTTTTTAAGATAATCTTCCCAAAAGGAGTCCGAAACTGGATCTAACGTCAATTTTTTATTGACGTCAAATGTGAAACTTTAAATGTGTTTTTTGTTATAATAAATTTTAAACTATGTTATAAAAAATTAAATTACTTAAAAGTCAGTGTGGGACATGAGTTCGAATCTCAAATTTATGTGGTCTTCTCTTAACATTCAAATGCGTGTATTACTTAACATTAATTTTTTTTAAATTTTTCAAAATTACTTAAAGTTTAAAACAATTTTTTTTCAGTGACAAAAATGCGCTTTTAAATCAACATTACACATAAATTTCCAAAACCACATTTTATTGTCTACCAAAACGATTCTTCCAATTATTAAACATTGTTACGTGGGTGGACAACTCGTACCAGCAATTGAGGATGATCTCTCTTTCTTTCTCATGTGCTGTGCGGTATAATATTCTGAACAAACTAATATTTCAACAATTTTTTCTGAATCATTCCAAAAATGAAATGGCATTAAATATTTAGTGTTGCCCACTCTTTGCATTTTCATTTTAGATTCTAATCAACACGAGCACGCAACGAGTTGATTCATTAATAGTATAAATGCAGTATAACAAGCAATTACTATTATTAATGGTGACAGCTTACAATAAGTCAAAAAAGAAATTGAACAATTGACATGCATACATACCATTTTGCGAAGGAGATCTTCGTCCTTGATATTAATCAAATTGCTAGCCATAATTCAAAATCAGTGTCTGTTCTCGTTAAAGCAGGTCTCGATTGCAACTTCCGTTTAACTGCCCACCTTCTGAAATTATAAAATTATTAGCTCATTATAGACCATGAAGAGATAATGAAAATGACAACATAAATTTACATAAATTTTAATTAGATCAAGCTAGTCTAGCCGGTGGTCAAATAGATATGAAAAAAAACAATAGGCACTTATCCATTAACAGAATCAATAAAAACAATCTCTAATTGATTCATAATAAAGCTCGTGACAGAATTACTGAACTACCTGTCGTTCCTGTCAAGCTTTTGAGATGTTGAGTGCTTTACTGTAAATACGATTAGTCTCAGCAAATAAAGTTGTAAGAATTACTTTATTACTTTACTTTTTTTTTTTAAGAATGAAATCATTCAATATGCATATTAGTTTGCTTATTTCCATTCATAACTTCGTATTACCACACGACTTATTACATCATCGGCAGTGAACGAATGCAAAAAAAAAATAAAATAAATAAAAGCAATGAAATTTTGAGGATTGTGTCATTTGGAATGAGAATTTTGAAACACAGACTTTTTTTTATTGGAATTTCTGTAAAGAAGGCAGTTTTAAAGAGAAGGCGGGAAATAAGAAATTCAGTGTCCACTTTAAGAGCTTAATGTATGGTTTAAATGACTCAAATTTCTTAAAAATATGAGATTATATTCCTTTAATATCCAAACTGGCTATAAAAAGTGTATCAAACTCCCATTTTGGATCTTTTAAAGCTTGATACCATTTTAAATGGCTTGTTTGCTTAAGAATCGAGACTATTTTTGACACAACCATCTTGCTTGTCAAATGAACTGATTAAATTGCTCGCTAAAGAATGTTAAAAAGCTACAAAATTAATAAAATGGGTCTAAAATCTCAAATTAAACAAGATCCAGAAAAATATTCTGTTAATCGCCGATAAATCATTCAAAAATTCGTGTACAAAACATTTTTTCGGCATTTTTAAAGCCTGTAATTCAATACAAATTCTTTGAAACATTCCGATGGTATCAATAATATCCGTATTGATGCATCCACCGTCTTTGGGTAAATTATTTATTGTCATTATAAATTGAAAGACGAGACATCTTATATTGCAGAAGTCCATAACTTAAGAATCTTTATAGCTGTTGAGTAATTTTGAGAAATTTTTTTAAAATCCATTTTAAGGAGACGGAATTCCTCAATTAATAAAGAAAGTGTAATTTATAGTGCCAATGAAGTAATAAGGGCATTGCGTAAGATTTGGTTGTTATAAAGCTGAATCCGTAGATTTATGTATTAGTTTAAAGTCATTCGAAGGTCTTTGGGTATAATGCTATTCTTGGTACCGATTTAAACATTTAAAAATGCTCTAAAGATAAATTTGATGACCAACTTGTTAAAAATAATCCAGAACAATATTTCAGCCCAAAATCTCTACAGACTAGAATTTATGGCAATAGAATTCATCCAAAAACACTTTTCATTTACCACAGACTACCGTCATTTCGTTTCGGACTTCTTCGAAATTAATTTCGATTTCTTCGATATTAGAGCCGAAAATTCAAATTTCAAAAAACAGTTACATTATGTAAACAATAAATTATTTTAATTAATACCAATTCTGCACAAATCCCAAAGTTCTTCATAAATTATTAATTTTATATTTTTTTATCCATTCTCAACTTTATTAACAATAAAATTTGAG